TTCCCTCACCTGCAGATGCTTCTTCTCCTCTGCTGTGCCTTAAATGAACAGATTATCCGAAAACGCCTCGACGATGTTCTCTCACATCCTAGTGCGGTCCATCACCCATACTTCCCTCACCTGCAGATGCTTCTTCTCCTCTGCTGTGCCTTCAATGAACAGATTATCCGAAAACGCCTCGACGATGTTCTCTCACATCCTAGTGCGGTCCATCACCCATACTCACCTGCAGGTGCTTCTTCTCCTCTGCTGTGCCTTAAATGAACAGATTATCCGAAAACGCCTCGACGATGTTCTCTCACATCCTAGTGCGGTCCATCACCCATACTTCCCTCACCTGCAGATGCTTCTCCTCCTCTGCTGTGCCTTCAATGAACAGATTATCCGAAAACGCCTCGACGATGTTCTCTCACATCCTAGTGCGGTCCATCACCCATACTTCCCTCACCTGCAGGTGCTTCTTCTCCTCTGCTGTGCCTTAAATGAACAGATTATCCGAAAACGCCTCGACGATGTTCTCTCACATCCTAGTGCGGTCCATCACCCATACTTCCCTCACCTGCAGATGCTTCTTCTCCTCTGCTGTGCCTTCAATGAACAGATTATCCGAAAACGCCTCGACGATGTTCTCTCACATCCTAGTGCGGTCCATCACCCATACTTCCCTCACCTGCAGATGCTTCTTCTCCTCTGCTGTGCCTTCAATGAACAGATTATCCGAAAACGCCTCGACGATGTTCTCTCACATCCTAGTGCGGTCCATCACCCATACTTCCCTCACCTGCAGGTGCTTCTTCTCCTCTGCTGTGCCTTAAATGAACAGATTATCCGAAAACGCCTCGACGATGTTCTCTCACATCCTAGTGCGGTCCATCACCCATACTTCCCTCACCTGCAGGTGCTTCTTCTCCTCTGCTGTGCCTTAAATGAACAGATTATCCGAAAACGCCTCGACGATGTTCTCTCACATCCTAGTGCGGTCCATCACCCATACTTCCCTCACCTGCAGATGCTTCTTCTCCTCTGCTGTGCCTTCAATGAACAGATTATCCGAAAACGCCTCGACGATGTTCTCTCACATCCTAGTGCGGTCCATCACCCATACTTCCCTCACCTGCAGATGCTTCTTCTCCTCTGCTGTGCCTTCAATGAACAGATTATCCGAAAACGCCTCGACGATGTTCTCTCACATCCTAGTGCGGTCCATCACCCATACTTCCCTCACCTGCAGGTGCTTCTTCTCCTCTGCTGTGCCTTCAATGAACAGATTATCCGAAAACGCCTCGACGATGTTCTCTCACATCCTAGTGCGGTCCATCACCCATACTTCCCTCACCTGCAGATGCTTCTTCTCCTCTGCTGTGCCTTCAATGAACAGATTATCCGAAAACGCCTCGACGATGTTCTCTCACATCCTAGTGCGGTCCATCACCCATACTTCCCTCACCTGCAGGTGCTTCTTCTCCTCTGCTGTGCCTTAAATGAACAGATTATCCGAAAACGCCTCGACGATGTTCTCTCACATCCTAGTGCGGTCCATCACCCATACTTCCCTCACCTGCAGATGCTTCTTCTCCTCTGCTGTGCCTTCAATGAACAGATTATCCGAAAACGCCTCGACGATGTTCTCTCACATCCTAGTGCGGTCCATCACCCATACTTCCCTCACCTGCAGGTGCTTCTTCTCCTCTGCTGTGCCTTAAATGAACAGATTATCCGAAAACGCCTCGACGATGTTCTCTCACATCCTAGTGCGGTCCATCACCCATACTTCCCTCACCTGCAGATGCTTCTTCTCCTCTGCTGTGCCTTCAATGAACAGATTATCCGAAAACGCCTCGACGATGTTCTCTCACATCCTAGTGCAGTCCATCACCCATACTTCCCTCACCTGCAGGTGCTTCTTCTCCTCTGCTGTGCCTTAAATGAACAGATTATCCGAAAACGCCTCGACGATGTTCTCTCACATCCTAGTGCGGTCCATCACCCATACTTCCCTCACCTGCAGGTGCTTCTTCTCCTCTGCTGTGCCTTAAATGAACAGATTATCCGAAAACGCCTCGACGATGTTCTCTCACATCCTAGTGCGGTCCATCACCCATACTTCCCTCACCTGCAGATGCTTCTTCTCCTCTGCTGTGCCTTCAATGAACAGATTATCCGAAAACGCCTCGACGATGTTCTCTCACATCCTAGTGCGGTCCATCACTCATACTTCCCTCACCTGCAGGTGCTTCTTCTCCTCTGCTGTGCCTTAAATGAACAGATTATCCGAAAACGCCTCGACGATGTTCTCTCACATCCTAGTGCGGTCCATCACCCATACTTCCCTCACCTGCAGATGCTTCTTCTCCTCTGCTGTGCCTTCAATGAACAGATTATCCGAAAACGCCTCGACGATGTTCTCTCACATCCTAGTGCGGTCCATCACCCATACTTCCCTCACCTGCAGGTGCTTCTTCTCCTCTGCTGTGCCTTAAATGAACAGATTATCCGAAAACGCCTCGACGATGTTCTCTCACATCCTAGTGCGGTCCATCACCCATACTTCCCTCACCTGCAGATGCTTCTTCTCCTCTGCTGTGCCTTCAATGAACAGATTATCCGAAAACGCCTCGACGATGTTCTCTCACATCCTAGTGCGGTCCATCACCCATACTTCCCTCACCTGCAGATGCTTCTTCTCCTCTGCTGTGCCTTAAATGAACAGATTATCCGAAAACGCCTCGACGATGTTCTCTCACATCCTAGTGCGGTCCATCACCCATACTTCCCTCACCTGCAGATGCTTCTTCTCCTCTGCTGTGCCTTAAATGAACAGATTATCCGAAAACGCCTCGACGATGTTCTCTCACATCCTAGTGCGGTCCATCACCCATACTTCCCTCACCTGCAGGTGCTTCTTCTCCTCTGCTGTGCCTTAAATGAACAGATTATCCGAAAACGCCTCGACGATGTTCTCTCACATCCTAGTGCGGTCCATCACCCATACTTCCCTCACCTGCAGATGCTTCTTCTCCTCTGCTGTGCCTTAAATGAACAGATTATCCGAAAACGCCTCGACGATGTTCTCTCACATCCTAGTGCGGTCCATCACCCATACTTCCCTCACCTGCAGGTGCTTCTTCTCCTCTGCTGTGCCATAAAATGAACAGATTATCCGAAAACGCCTCGACGATGTTCTCTCACATCCTAGTGCGGTCCATCACCCATACTTCCCTCACCTGCAGATGCTTCTTCTCCTGTGCTGTGCCTTAAATGAACAGATTATCCGAAAACGCCTCGACGATGTTCTCTCACATCCTAGTGCGGTCCATCACCCATACTTCCCTCACCTGCAGATGCTTCTTCTCCTCTGCTGTGCCTTAAATGAACAGATTATCCGAAAACGCCTCGACGATGTTCTCTCACATCCTAGTGCGGTCCATCACCCATACTTCCCTCACCTGCAGATGCTTCTTCTCCTCTGCTGTGCCTTAAATGAACAGATTATCCGAAAACGCCTCGACGATGTTCTCTCACATCCTAGTGCGGTCCATCACCCATACTTCCCTCACCTGCAGATGCTTCTTCTCCTCTGCTGTGCCTTCAATGAACAGATTATCCGAAAACGCCTCGACGATGTTCTCTCACATCCTAGTGCGGTCCATCACCCATACTTCCCTCACCTGCAGGTGCTTCTTCTCCTCTGCTGTGCCTTAAATGAACAGATTATCCGAAAACGCCTCGACGATGTTCTCTCACATCCTAGTGCGGTCCATCACCCATACTTCCCTCACCTGCAGGTGCTTCTTCTCCTCTGCTGTGCCTTAAATGAACAGATTATCCGAAAACGCCTCGACGATGTTCTCTCACATCCTAGTGCGGTCCATCACCCATACTTCCCTCACCTGCAGATGCTTCTTCTCCTCTGCTGTGCCTTCAATGAACAGATTATCCGAAAACGCCTCGACGATGTTCTCTCACATCCTAGTGCGGTCCATCACCCATACTTCCCTCACCTGCAGATGCTTCTTCTCCTCTGCTGTGCCTTAAATGAACAGATTATCCGAAAACGCCTCGACGATGTTCTCTCACATCCTAGTGCGGTCCATCACCCATACTTCCCTCACCTGCAGATGCTTCTTCTCCTCTGCTGTGCCTTAAATGAACAGATTATCCGAAAACGCCTCGACGATGTTCTCTCACATCCTAGTGCGGTCCATCACCCATACTTCCCTCACCTGCAGGTGCTTCTTCTCCTCTGCTGTGCCTTAAATGAACAGATTATCCGAAAACGCCTCGACGATGTTCTCTCACATCCTAGTGCGGTCCATCACCCATACTTCCCTCACCTGCAGATGCTTCTTCTCCTCTGCTGTGCCTTAAATGAACAGATTATCCGAAAACGCCTCGACGATGTTCTCTCACATCCTAGTGCGGTCCATCACCCATACTTCCCTCACCTGCAGATGCTTCTTCTCCTCTGCTGTGCCTTAAATGAACAGATTATCCGAAAACGCCTCGACGATGTTCTCTCACATCCTAGTGCGGTCCATCACCCATACTTCCCTCACCTGCAGATGCTTCTTCTCCTCTGCTGTGCCTTAAATGAACAGATTATCCGAAAACGCCTCGACGATGTTCTCTCACATCCTAGTGCGGTCCATCACCCATACTTCCCTCACCTGCAGATGCTTCTTCTCCTCTGCTGTGCCTTCAATGAACAGATTATCCGAAAACGCCTCGACGATGTTCTCTCACATCCTAGTGCGGTCCATCACCCATACTTCCCTCACCTGCAGGTGCTTCTTCTCCTCTGCTGTGCCTTAAATGAACAGATTATCCGAAAACGCCTCGACGATGTTCTCTCACATCCTAGTGCGGTCCATCACCCATACTTCCCTCACCTGCAGATGCTTCTTCTCCTCTGCTGTGCCTTCAATGAACAGATTATCCGAAAACGCCTCGACGATGTTCTCTCACATCCTAGTGCGGTCCATCACCCATACTTCCCTCACCTGCAGATGCTTCTTCTCTTCCGCCGTGTCCGGGATAAACAGGTGATCAGAAGACGCCTCGACAATGTTCTCCCACGATCGCAGAGTGAGCGTCGCAGCAAAGATAGCGTAAAGGTCCGCGCCGGCGCCCAGAGCAATGCTGTACTGCATGATGCCGCGCGCGTCGGCCAGGACTAGAGCCTTCCAGAGGTGTGCGTAGTTGAGGCGGAGGGAGTCAGGGAGTTGCCGGTATAGCCCGTGATCGAGCAACACCACTTCCGGCTCCACATAGCCTGGAGAGAGGGAGGGGAGTGAGGAGAGGAAGGAGAGAGCATTGAAGGCGTTACATAAAGGTCCGCCCCGGCCCCCACCGCAATCCTGTACTCCATGATGCCGTGCGCGTCGGCCAGAACAAGGGCCTTCCAGAGGTGCGCGTAGTTGAGGTGGAGGGAGTCGGGCAGCTGGCGGTATAGCCCGTGATCTTCCACGTAGCCTGGAGAGGAGGGGGAGCGAAGCACAACAAGACGTGTGCGTGGTTGAGGCAGAGGGAGTCGGGCAGCTGGCGGTACAGCCCGTGATCACGGGTAGGATGGATGGAGGGAATGGAAGGAAATCTTCCATGTGGGCGGGGTGAGGGGGGTGAGGGGGGTGAGGGAGGTGAGGGGGGTGAGGGGGGTGAGGGAGGTGAGGGGGGTGAGGGAGGTGAGGGAGGTGAGGGGGGTGAGGGAGGTGAGGGAGGTGAGGGGGGTGAGGGAGGTGAGGGAGGTGAGGGGGGGTGAGGGGGGTGAGGGAGGTGAGGGGGGTGAGGGAGGTGAGGGAGGTGAGGGGGGTGAGGGAGGTGAGGGAGGTGAGGGGGGTGAGGGAGGTGAGGGAGGTGAGGGGGGTGAGGGAGGTGAGGGAGGTGAGGGGGGTGAGGGAGGTGAGGGAGGTGAGGGGGGTGAGGGAGGTGAGGGAGGTGAGGGGGGTGAGGGAGGTGAGGGAGGTGAGGGGGGTGAGGGAGGTGAGGGAGGTGAGGGGGGTGAGGGAGGTGAGGGAGGTGAGGGGGGTGAGGGAGGTGAGGGAGGTGAGGGGGGTGAGGGAGAGAGGAAGGAGAGGACAGGGGCAGGCAGATTGGCCGCCTCTTTTTGCTCCGCACTAGCACATTGGCCGAGAGCGTGTCTCAGTGCACAGAGCATCCAGGCAGGCAGGCAGGCGTATACGCCCAAATCCCAACCCCCCTGACACTAAAATGAGCAGCACTCACCACCAGGCATTCGCCGCCCTCCTCTCTTGGGCCACACGAGCACATTTGCCGCGTGCGGGTCGCAATGCACAAAGCCATGCCGGAATATCATCTCAGCGAAAGCTGTGCTGATCTGGATGGTGGGGCGAGGGAGGAAAGAGGGGAGAGGAGCAGAAGGGAGTGTGCGATGTAAAAACTTGGATGCATGTGAATATGATGAACACCAGGTATGGACGGGCCAAAGGGTTTCAAATTTTTTTCCGCATCTTTCTGCCTCAGCTGAAAGGGAATAAAAAACTCACCAGTTTTGCCACGTCAGCAGGGTTGATCCCCATGTCCTTGAGCCTTGCCACGTCAGTCAGAGGCACGCCCTCCATCCACTCCATTGTCAGCACCCGCTGCCCGGTAAGTTCCAGGAAGCTTCTCGGCACTGCCACGGACTCCCTCAGGAGCTTGGACGGCGAGGATCGAAAGTTGGCCATGCAATGCCGACCGTTGGATGCTTCGAGGGCGAAATCTAGCTCCTGTAGCGGGGAAGAAGGTGAGTGGGTGGGTGACAGTAGAAGGGGAGGAGATTTGGAAGGCATGAGGGTCCATGGAAGGGGGGAAGTACGAGGCAAAAGGTTGGAGTCACAAGGCAATGCAACACAACGCTGACTGTTGGATTGCAATGCCATCTCACAATGCAACGCCGGCCGTTGGATGCAATGCCATGTCACAATGCAATACGGACCGTTGGTTGCTTCAAGAGTGAAATCCGCATGGCAAAGGCAAGATCAGATAGCTTATCAACGTCTAGGTGTGCTGTACGGTTGAATTGACTTATGAAGGGCTTGTCGAGGTGTACCTTGGGTAAGCTCTCCTCCACCTCTGTGATCAGCCACCTGCAACGGAAAAGCATTCAACATGGGAGTAACATATATATGTAATATATTTATACACATATAGTTATATATTTGCGTTGCACTGGCTGAATTGAAACGACTGAATAAGTGAATCAAGACCTGGATTATAGGCTCGGGAAGAAACAATACCTGTAGTCTAGGCTCGGGAAGAACCAATACAGTGCGGAGATGACAAGGCGGACTGAGACCATGTCTGCTGCTGCCGTGTCAAGCAGATGTGCGTGCTGCACCTGGTGAAGTGGGATGGGATGGGAAGGGGTGGGGAGGGGTTGGTGGGCTATTTGAGAAGGAATGGGGTTTCGACTGAGACCATGTCTGCTGCTGCCATGTCAAGCAGATGTGCGTGCTGCACCTGGTGGGACCGGGTCGAATGGGATGGGAAAGGGTGAGGACGGGTGGGGAGTGGTGGGAGACGTGGGGAGGGTTGGGAATGGGTGCGTGGATTCTGGGGAAGGAAGGGATGGGGCCTCAACAAAAACCATGCTGCCATGTCTGGATGAAATTTCACTCTAAAAGCATGCCTCGGTTGGTGCTAAAATGCCATTGAGTCACAGTGAATCAGAGTTGAGGGAATGACTCCAGGAGCCTCATCACCCATCACTCGACTCGAAGCTCACCTTCACTGCCACGTCCTCCCCTGATTTCAGCATGCCTCGATGCATTTGAGCTCGCGAGGATTTATGCACCACATTAATCACCTCGGCTTGCAGCTCACCTCGCCTTGCAGCTCACCTCGCCTTGCAGCTCACCTCGCCTTGCAGCTCACCTCGCCTTGCAGCTCACCTCGCCTTGCAGCTCACCTCGCCTTGCAGCTCACCTCGCCTTGCAGCTCACCTCGCCTTGCAGCTCACCTTGACTGCCACGTCCTCCCCTGATTTCAGCTTTCCTCGATGCACTTGGGCCAGTGATGCGCTCGCCACAGGCACAGGGTCGAAGGAGGAGAAGATCTGACGGTGGGGGTTGCGGGGAAAGGAGAATGCGAGGAGGAGAAGGGCAAGGGGGGCAGAGAGAAAGGTGCTTGAGCCAAAGAGGAACTCGCCACAGGCACGGGGTCGAAAGAGGAGAAGATCTGACGGTGGGGGGTGGAGGGAAAGGAGAATACGAGGATACGACAAGAGGGGCAGCGGGGGGAGGAAGGGGCACTTGAGCCAGGAGCGCGCATGCCACAGGCGTGGGGTCGAAGTAGGAGAAGATCTGGGTACAGGGAGGCGGAAAGGAGGATAGGACTCGCGAAAAAGGGGTGTGGGAGGAAAGTATGATGAGAGTGGGGGAAAGGTAGGGGTCAAGGAGGGATGGAGGGATGAAGGATCAACGGAAGGTTGGATGCGAACTCGACGGCAGGGAAGTTCGACCTACTTCTTCCCCTTAACCATACCACCTTCTCTCTCGTGACCCATCCCTCTTCCACGAAACCACACTCTCCCGTCCCTCGTACACTGTACGACTTTTCCACCTTCCACCATACCTTCCAAAAATTGTCATATTCACCGTACCTACCTACCTCTCCCACCGTACCTCCTCTGGAGGTTTGCCGAGCTCTGATTGGATGACGAGCCGAACGTCCTCGTATGGGGTGACAGGGCACGTGTTGAGCATTGACTCCTTCATTACAGTCACATACTCCTCCGGCACGATGTAGTCCTGAAATTACCAAAAGAGAGCAGAAAAACGTATATATACGCTTACATGTTTTTTCGCCGGCACATTCGCCGCTCCCGGTGTTCTGTCCGCAGAACACTAACCTAGCGCGCGCGAATCTGGAAAGTTGTGAGAGTGAAAACCGATACGAGGTAACACAGCACTCCAGAGTTGTTCTGTCCGGAACTCTTTCTCTCCGTCCGAAACCTATTCATTCTCTTCGTCTTGAGCTGTCGTGAACTTACTCAATACGAGTAAATAGAAGAGGACGTTATTGTAGCTGGATTACCAAGTTGAGAAGGATGCTCAAAGAGAATGAGAAGGATTTGACGACAAATGAGCGCGAGGAATGGAGGAGGAAGGAGAAAGAGTTGGTGTAGAGGAATGAGAACCTTACGGCGGCGTGGCAGGCAAATCCCTCCTTATCCACCTGCCACGCCGCTTAAGGTTTCTCGTTCCTCTGCACCAACTCCTTCTCCTTCCTCCTCCGACCCTCCCGCTCCTTTGCCGTCAATTCATTCTCATTCTCTTTGAGCATCCTTCTCAACTTGGTATTTTCCTCATCCTTAAATGGTACGTTTCACTCACTCACTAGCTCGAGTTCTATTTCAATCAACTGAGACTTCAGCTTCAATAGTGTCTTCTCCATATTTACTCATATCGAGTAAGTTCATGACACCCTTCATTGCCACACCCTTCATTGTTAAACCCAATCACACCCACCAGCTGAGAAATGTGCTGTCCTAGCTTGAAGTAGATCCCTCCGTTTTTGAAACACATGGCCTGCAGCCAACCCCTTTGTTAACCCGTACCATAAACACCCTTCAGAGGCACAACCTTCAAAAGCACACCACGTCGGCAATGCATGCAACCCACCAACTGAGCAATGTGCTGCCCTAGCTTGATGTAGATCCCTCCGTTTCTGAAGCACATCGCTTGCAGCCGATCCGCACAGCGCAGGTGGCACTGCCGCTTCTCCGACTCCATTTCCTCGCTGCCCGCGGGCAGCCCGCGAAGAGAAGTCTTGTAGTCTGAGGAAACATCGGACAAAAAAGAAGGTTACCAGTTGATCAGATTCGGCTAAACACCCTGCATTGCTACAGTGCTTATTAGAACGGTTTCAATGAAGTGTTTAGCTAAAGCGATTATGGGAGCAAAGGCTGGTTGGGTGGGAGGTCGTACCAGCAACCATGGCGAGCACTGTGGTAACCACCCTTCCGACGCGCACTGGGACTGTAACGAGAAGCTTTAAACGGAGCAATGGATCCTCCCCCATTGTAACCCATCCCAGAGCACCCACGATGCCCAATCCAGCCACGCCACGTGTCAACCGAAAAATAACTGACGGACGATTCGATCTGCCATTTACTTGTGCTTTTGCCCCGTGAGATGCAGCAGCGTTGCCGGCGTGAGTCGCGGCGGTGGTGGAACTAAAGAACCGCCTAGCTGCGACGCCGCCTACGATCTCGATCGACGAACAAGTGCCATATATTTTCACCTTGCCAGCCTGACAAGCGCCGCGCGTGAAGGCTGTCGAGGAATGGGGAGCTTTCGCAACAGTAAAGAATGTGCGACAGACGTTCTGTATTGTCCCGTTGTAGACGTTCCGTAAACTTCCGTTACAAGCGTTGTGTATTGTTCCGTTATAGACGCTCCTCCGATCCACAGCGTGTTTGGCCCCTCGAGTAGCACTATCAGCAGCAAAACAGAGAGCATTGTAAACGCTTTTCCCCCGCATCGCGAAACGTGATGCCTAACGGCCTGAAAGAAAAAAAGCCTTGTGTCGTGTCGCTTGAGAAAAATGGCCTCTTGCCGACACGGATCTGGTGGGTACTGCGGCTGCCGTGTAAGAGGCTTCTAGAACCTCTTTCTTGAGCCTCGTTCTATAACCTTTATATCCTTTTAGAGGCGTGCTAGCGCCACTGCTTGCCACCGGTCAGCCACAGGGAACTTGAATCGAGGAAGCTGCAAGGAAAGATCGCCAACTCCCTCACGTCAGGCACGGCCTCTGAGCTCTTGGCAGGTAAGACGCGGTGATACTCTAAGTTCGAGCACCCGAGGATCGAGCATTGAAAATATCGACAGTCGTTAGCGGGAACTGCGCGGTATGATGCGATAATGAAGTGCGCAGCCTGATGGCCTGGTTTGGCGCGGGTTCGCCAAAAAGAGCCGGATCTGTAAACCTATATCATATCTCCTCCTTACCTTACGCCCAGTAGACCAGACAAGCGGTAAATTAATTAGCTTGGCTAAACTAATATCCTTATTACCTCTACCTACATACCGTCTGCTCTTGTGGCTGTTTTGAATGTGAGGCTTTACAGAGACCACACCAGCCCTCGGGGCCTCGAGGTTGGATGAACTTTTCGCGGGCTTTTTTCCTGCAATTTTGGAGGTGTGGCAAATCCCAAGGGTGTTTCTCGAATAGCTGGGGCGCAGCGGCCGCCAGCGAGAGGGTGAGATGAACGGTTCTGCTCGAGTCTTAGAGCGAAATAAGGCTCGTCCAATCGTTGCCGTCGATTTCTCGGCTTCACGCTCACTCGTTTTACATTCGACTTCAGTTTTAGGCCTCGACAATGCGTGCTGTTCCAAAGTTCTAAACATTCATCATAAACTTTACTATCATGCCTTCGTGGCTAGGAGGACAAGGGATGATTGTGGCGCAACATTGTATGTGCCGCTGATTACACGACCATTGGTTGCAATCGTTTCGAGATCATCCACAATGTCCCGTGGAGACGGCAAGTTGGTGTCGACCTGTTCACCACCAGCAACAGGAGAGACAAAGGCAAAAATGATGTTACTGTGTGTCCTTAGTTGTGAAATATACTGAGGGAGTACCTTAGGCCGTTATGTTCAAATTCGTAGTGAGTTTCAACAAGCAGGACAATGTTGTAGTGGCGAATTGAAGTGTACTCACCAAACGAACCCATTGGCGACCAGCGGGCGGGGGAGGTAGGCCAGCATCCACAGCGAAGGAATGAGCGTTGAACGCCACATACAGGTCACCACACGTCCCTGAGACGTCATGCAAGCTGCAACATTTGACACGACACACATTCATAAATAAGAAAGAAATAAAGAAAAGATGGAGTTACCCTAGTACTGCAGTCTTTTTGATAGATCAGACCATTCGAGGCATTAAAACAAATTTCTGAAGGTTGACTCACCTGAAGGCAAGGAATCTGCTTTCGTAGTTATCCCAGTTGTCTTCATGCCATGTGATGTCCCGCTGGAAACATGCCAAACACATACAGTAAACTTAATGGGCTACGGGGAACGTAACCGAATACGCAGGTGGAAACGAGGGTGAGAAATGGGAAATCAGTCATCTCAAAAGCCAGCTCAGTACCCCATATCTGAATCCTAGAATGCTGTCTATTGCAGCTGTGAGGAGTTAGAGGGATTACAGGTGAGAGGAAGTTGGCTTGGCCAAGGGCTGGGTGCCAGGAGCGAAGGCGGTTGACTGCTGCTGTGAAGCGGAAGAGAGATGAGCGGGCCTGGTCCAACTGAGTGAGAGAAGACAGGGGAGTGGATGGATAGAGCAGGAAACAACAGATGGAGACAGTAAGGGGGGAGCAGGGAATCAGCCTATCAAATGTAATGAGCCATTTAGTGGTGTATACATGAAAGGGTACGACGTATGTCTACCCAGTTGTGAGGAAAGCTCCCCTGGTTTCAGGGAGAATAACCCAAAAAAATGAGAGAAAAAAACCAGACTAAAAAAAAAAAGAACAGTGAGAACAGTCATGGCCACAGCTACTGCAGGTGGCAAGGCGTGAGTATAGTCACAGAGAGCATGTTCACTCACAACGTGCCATAAGCACCTGGTTCCAGAGGAAGTGGTTGAGTGCGGTGTCATGGCCGTAGCTATTGTTGTTGCCATTGCGTGTGTGCCCGTACTCATCTCCCATCAGCATCATGGGCGTTCCCTGCTCCGTGCATGCATCCATATGTGTGTGGGATAAAGGGACAGGGCGCAAGGGTAGTGGCACTTTGAACCTGTACTACATATCGCACATGCAAATCCATGTGTGCCCATACCCATCCCCCATCAGCATCCATGTGTGCCCGTACTCATCCCCCATCAGCACCATGGGCGTGCCTTGCTCCATGTGTGCATGCGCATGTGGTACAAGGCACAGGGTGCAGGGCACAGGGCACAGGGCACAGGGCACAGGGCACAGGGGTGGTGGCAGACTATACTGTACTATTCACAGCATGTGATCATGCGCGTGTGCTCGTACTCATCCCCCATCATGGGCATGCCCTGATGCAAGTGCACGAGGATATGGCACGAGGATATGGCACGAGGATATGGCACGAGGATATGGCACGAGGATATGGCACGAGGATATGGCACGAGGATATGGCACGAGGATATGGCACGGAGTACAGGATACATGATGAAGGGTGCAGGGTGCAGGGTGCAGGGTGCAGGGTATGTTGAGTCGTACAGACATGCACGCACCTGGGAGATCATCAGCGCGATGTGGAAGTTCCTCATTTGCCGGTTTCTCAATGCAATGACCCCCTCGTCCTGCGTGGCACCTGGAGGGGGTTGGAAGAAGACACGAGGAGTTGGATAAGGGTGAGACGAGGAGTTGGATAAGGGTGATAATACTAGGAGTTTAGAGCAGAGAATAGCACGGTGATACTAGGATCTTGCTGCAGAGGGGTAACACACGGGCCCCACCTTCCCCCCCCACCCGCAGTTCCCCACCTTTTTCCCCCCCGCCTCCCCACATTCCACCCAACAGTTCTTCACCTCCCCACCCCTCCGCCTCCCCACCTCTCCATCCCACCCACACAGCTCCTCCCCACCTTCCACTCCGCAGTTCCAGCTGAAGTTGTCGTTGCTGCCATCTCTGCCCTCCTCCCCATTCGCCTCGTTGTGCTGGAGGGGAGGAAGGGAGAGGGGGAGAGGGAGGGGTTGGAAGGAAGGAAAAGGGGGGAGGGCAGGGAAGGAGAGAAAGGAGTTGGGGGGAGCGAGGGAGGGTGGAAAGGAGGGAAAGGATGGGGGATGGGAGCGAAGGAGGGAGAAGGGAGAGAGGGAGCAAGGAGAGGAGAAAGAAGTCGAGTGTATGAGATTGGACAGCAATGAAAAGAAACAAAGCGGAGGAGAAGGAAGGGGAAAGGCAGAAAACATGAGCGGACAGGGGAAAGGGGCGGGGAAGAGGGGGGAAAGGGGAAGGGCATGTGTGTGTAAGGGCAAGGGCAAGGAAAAAGGGGACTACAATGGAAGGATAAGCTGATGTGAAAGGGCTTTTCTGACACACAGAGCAGGACACCGCAGCGCTTTATTAAAACCAGGGTCTCAAGTTCCTGACTTTTGCCTCAACCTTCCTACCTTTGGTTGGGTGTCACCAAGTCGAGAGCTAGCTACTTCACAAACTGTTTCGGTTCCTTCGGTGCTCGAAATTGTTGCATGCGAAGTAGATTGATGTGTGAAGGGTCACACAAATTTCGGTATTTCACCCACGAGAAGTAGCGCGAATTTTTTCCTGGGTTGCATCACAGATGTGGTAACTCTGGCGAGAGCATTTCATTTCACGACCTACGTCAAGCTATTTCGACGCCCCCCTGCTTCGCGGGCCAATCCCATCTCCTGCCCCAACCAACCTTCCTACCTTTGAAAGCTGTGGACCTCGGGTTTTAAGAGTAGTAAAGAGGAGTGACAACGGACATACACACACATGTGTCCTCTTATACTAAATGTCTTTTTTTCGGCTTTTACCTTGACGTTGTAAGACACTAGGTCCCTGAGTGTGAACCCGTTGTGAGCGATGACAAAGTTGATGCTGTGGTAGGTAACACACTACAACTCTGTACCACTCAATCTGCTCACCTTGACGTTGTAAGACACGAGGTCCCTGAGTGTGAATCCATCGTGAGCGATGACAAAGTTGATGCTGTGGTAGGGCTTGCGCTGATGCACACAGTGCTGCCCTTTTTGTACCAAGCAGATTGTTTATCTAGACGTTGTAGGTCACCAGGTGTCTGAGTGTGAAGCCTTTTGCTATCTCGTGGCAAAGCAAAGTTGATGCTATGAAATCCGCGTGCAGTGAGGTGTATTTTGAGGCGCCTCAAAATACACCTCACTGCACGCGTATCTCGTGGCAAAGCAAAGTTGATGCTATGATAGATACGGCTTGCGCTGATGCACACACTATCACTCTCGGTACGACTCAGTGTGTTTACCTTGACGTTGTAAGACACGAGGTCCCTGAGTGTGAAGCCGTCGTGAGCGATGACAAAGTTGATGCTGTGATAGGGCTTGCGCTGATTGACCTGCGCACGTGGGTGGGCAGGCAGGAGGGGGGACGAGACGTGAGGGAGGAGAGGGAGGGTCATCGGGACAAGTGAGCGATGCCAATGTTGATGCTATGGTAGGGCTTGCACTGATTGACCTGTGCATGTGAGTTAGGCGGAGGGGGGGAGGAGTGGGACAGAATAGGGAGATGATAGGTATGAGGACTTGGTTCTGCCGGGTACAGAGATGATAGGTATGAGGACTTGGTTCTGCCGGGTACAGAGATGACGGCAACATGAACATTGTAATATAGAGTAAACAGTATAATTGATCCCATGGCAGGGCATGTCATGACAATACATGTCATCTCACATGGCACATGTCATCTCACATGGTACATGCCATTTCACATGCTACATGTCATCTCACATGGTACATGTCATCTCACATGGTACATGTCATCTCACATGGTACATGTCATCTCAGATGGTATGGTACGTGTCATCTCACATGGTACATGACATCTCACATGGTACATGTCATCTCAGATGGTATGGTACGTGTCATCCACATGGTACATGTCATCTTACATGGTACATGTCATCTTACATGGTACATGTCAGCGGATCCAGCCAGTCGAGTGGCAAAGGGCCCTTTCATCCCCTCATCGCCCTTGATGAACTTGCGCACGTCGTCTCGGTACTTGCCGTTCCACTCCGCCCACCTGGGATGAGGGTGCAGCAGGGTAATGACAGCAGGGGGGTGGGGCGATGGCAGCATGGGATGCCATCAATGACAGCTAGAGGGCCCCTTCATGCCCTCGTCGCCCTTGATGAACTTGCGCACGTCGTCTCGATACTTGCCATTCCACTCCACCCACCTGGGATGAGGGTGATGGCGGCATGAAATGGCAGGGGGGTGGGGCGACGGCAGCATGGCATGAGTGGAAAAGGAAGGGTGGTATCATACATGATCATCCATGGCATACAGTCAATGACAGCTCAACGGCCCCTTCATGCCCTCATCGCCCTTTATGAACTTGCGCACGTCGTCTCGATACTTGCCGTTCCGCTCTGGCCACCTGGGATGATGGTGATGGCAGTACAGCATGGGGATGGGGCGATGGCAGCATGGAACGGGTGAAGAAGGAAGGGTGTTACCATCCATGATAGATCATTGATGAGTGCAGCGTGTCATGCGTTTCCTTTCCTATATGACTCAACCAGGCAAGGTGTTATCTGTTCCAGTTTGTGAGGGCGTTACCAGTGGGGAAGGCGTTACCTGGTCCAGTTGGGCAAGGCTACCTGTCCTATTCAAGGAAGGTCTTACCTGTCCCAGTTGGGAAAGCTTCCCACTTGGTAGAGTCCCCCACAGTCCCACGGCTCTGCGATCAGCTTGCACTTAGATAGCACCTCGTCTTTGGCAATGGCCTGATGGGGAAGGGGAGGGGGGAAGAGAATGGGGGACAGGATGCGGTCAAACAACAGCATCACCGCACAGCCCCCCACAGTTCCAAGGCTCCGCGATGAGCTTGCACTTGGATAGCACCTCGTCCTTGGCAATGGCCTGATGAGGAGGAGGGGAAGAGGGGGGAAGTGTGGGAACAGGAGGGGAATGGGGAGTCGAGGGATGGGGGAAGTGGGAGGTGGGGCGAAAACTACAGCACCTAGTCCGTCACCTCCTAGAGTCCCCCACAGTTCAGGGCTCCGCGATGGGCTTGCACTTTGACAGCACCTCGTCTGTCTAAGGCAATGGCCTTATGAAAGAGGGGGGGGGAGGTGTGGGAGGTGGCAGGGCGTGAAGAAAGACGGGATGAGAGGAGAGGGGGGTAGGGATGTGCCCAATCACTCACCCAAATCATTCACCCGACCCCAGTCACCCACCCCATTCCCTTACACGATTGAAAGGAGGCACTTTGAGGAGCTCTCCATCAGCCCTCAGCACAAGTCACTGGGGAGGTCAAGTAAGTGAGGCGATCACTTGCTGCAGTCCCTCGCCCCAACTACTCATCCAATGCCCATCCCAATTACGTACCCGAATGAGAGGAGGCGCTGTGAGGGGCTCTCCATCGGTCCCTCGGCACAGGACACTGGCGAGGTCAAAGCGGAACCCATCCACGTGGTACTCCTGATGGGGAAGGTGAGGGCGTAGGGGAGAAGGAAGGGGTAACCAGGGGCACGCAGGGGTGAAAAGGGATGAGCATGGATATGGTGCTGTGAGGGGCTCTCCATCAGTGCCTCGGCACAGGACACTGGCGAGGTCGAAGCGGAACCCATCCACATGGTACTCCTGGAGGGAGAGGGCGGGAGTGAACGGGACGGAGGAGACGATATGATTGGTTGGGAGTCAGTGCACAGGGCACTGGCAAGGTCAAAGCGAAACGCATCCATACGGTAGTACTTAGGTGTGCGTGGAAAAGGAGGTAGGCTCACTCTCACATCACATCACATCACATCACATCGCACCCGTGCTCCCTCCCCCCCTCTCCCCTCCCCCTGCCTCACCTGCACCCAGTGCCAGAGGCTGTCCAGGATCATCTGCATCACCACGGGATGGTTACAGTTGAGCGTGTTACCACACCTGCTTGCTTCCCTCCCCACCTGCACTGACCCTCCTTCGCCTTCTTTCTCTCTCCCCCTCTATTCTTCCCCTATTCTCACCTGCACCCAGTGCCAGAGGCTATCCAGGATCATCTGCATCACCACCGGGTGGTTGCAGTTGAGCGTGTTACCACACCTGACTGCTTCCTCCTCTCAGTCTCTTGTCAGCCTTACTTCCCCACATTCCCACCCGATATGGCCCCTCTTGTACTCTCTGTACGCCCCTCCCCTCAGCCTCACCTGCACCCAGTGCCTGAGGCTATCTAGGATCATCTGCATCACCACAGGGTGGTTGCAGTTGAGCGTGTTACCACACCCCTCAGCACTCCCTGTCTTACCACCCCACCTCACATGCACCCACAATCAACGCCTGTCCAACACCCTCATCTTCCCCCTTCCCATCCACCCATCTCACCTGCACCCAGTGCCTGAGGCTATCCAGGATCATCTGCATCACCACCGGGTGGTTGCAGTTGAGCGTGTTACCACACCCGGCGTAGTTCGCCAATTGGACATAGCTGTTGGGCTGGACGATGTAGTACGTCTGACAGAGGGGTGGGAATGGGTTCAAGGGAGTGGTTGGTGGGGAGACGTGGTTGGGAAGAGAAGGGTGGAGTGAGCCCTCATTTGTTACCACACCCGGCGTGGTTCGCAAGTTGCACATAGCTGTTGGGCTGGACGATGTAGTACGTCTGACAGAGGGGTGGGGGAAAGAGGGGTGGGGAGGGGGAGTGGGAATGGGGAGTGGGAATGGGGGGTGGAAATGCAGTGGTTTGGGAATGAAGGACGGGTAGCAGCCAAGGAATACGGGAAGGTGTCGTCAGCCTCATTGGTGCGGTTGTAAACCACACCCAATATCACCTCCACCCCTGCTGCGTGCTCCCGCTTCACCTCCAACCTTTTCCACCCTCTCTGCTTTGACTTCCAGGCCAGCGCACCTTGCTGTCTATGCCACGGAATGAGGTTGTATAAGGGAAGGTGTCGTCAGCCTCGTTGGTGTGGTTGTAGACCACATCCAGTATCACCTCCACCCCCGCCGCATGCAGCTTCTTCAACCCCGCTGCATGCAGCTTTTTTGCCATGCCCTTCACCACAGGGCCACTGAGAGGGAAGGAAGTAACCTCACAGGCTCATACCTTGTTGTCAATCCCTCGAAACGAGGTGGTGTAGGGAAACGTGTCGTCAGCCTCGTTGGTGTGGTTGTATACCACATCCAGTATCACCTCCACCCCCGCCGCATGCAGCTTTTTCACCATCTCCTTCACCTCCCTCGCTGCTGCCACGGGCCCACCAGCGTTGGAGGCGAAGCGGGACATGGGGGCGAAGAAGTTGACAGTGGAGTAGCCCCACGTGTTCACCTGGGGGGGTGGGAGAAAGAGGGAACGTAACAGAGAGGAGTTCAAGGCGGTTGAAAGTGGTTCTTTGGTCCCCACCATTAGAGGCGAGGCGGGACATGGGGGCGAAGAAGTTGACAGTGGAGTAGCCCCACGTGTTCACCTGGGGAGTGTGTGCGAGGGAGGGGTTGAAAGGTGGTTAGAGGTTCATTTGAATTGAAGCTATGGCGTGCACTTGCATCACCATCTCCTTCACCTCCCGTGCTGCTGCCACGGGCCCACAACCGTTAAGAGGCGAAGCGGGACATGGGGGCGAAGAAGCTCACAGTGGAGGGAGTAACCCCATGTGGGAACGGGGCGGAGAGAACCATTATCTCGTACTCAAAGATGGGCAGCAGCTCCGCCGCGGTCATGCCCAGCTGCCTTCACTGACTTCACTTCACCCCATTCCACTGCCCTTCCACCCCAGCTCTACCTATTCTAGTCGACTAGACAATCGTACCATGTGGTCGCGGGGGTTGGGGCGCCTCTGGAACTCCATCTCGTCATACTCAAATACGGGCAGCAGCTCCACCGCTTTCACTCCACTGCTTTCAGTGCCTTCACTCCAAGCTCTACCTCTTCCACTGTTCCATCCCAGCTTTACATGTTTTGAGGCCTCTAAGAAACCCACCATGTGGTCGCGGGGGTTGGGGCGTCTTTGGAATTCCATCTCGTCATACTCAAAGATGGGCAGCAGCTCCACCGCGTTCACGCCCAGCAGCCTTCACGTCACCTCAACCCATCCCACTGCTTTCCACCCCAACTCTTTTTTTTTTTTGGGAAATTCAAAGAGTCATACCATGTGGTCGCGGGGGTTGGGGCGCCTCTGGAACTCCATCTCGTCATACTCAAAGATGGGAAGCAGTTCCACCGCGTTCACTCCCAGCTGTACCAAGTGTTGCACCTGCGCGGATGGCATGGGGTAACACAGTAACACGGCGGGTCATGCGCTCACACACGGTTGGAGAAGCAGACATGTTGTAAACGTGTTCGTATGGATGCACATGGACTGATGGAAGGAGGTGACCAACACGCAGGAGAATGACCCACCAACTCTTTCCAGCGCGAACAGAAGTAGGAACAGCTCCACCTTGACTTGCACACCCTACCTTATCCGCAACAGCCGAGTAGCTTCCTCGTCTTCCCTCCTCGACCCCACTGGAAGGATCTGCAGTGTAGGCCCGCACGTTCATCTCGTATATAATCACGTCTTTCTGCAATCACACAGGCAGGAGCACACGAGGAAAACAGGGGGTAGAGATAGTGGCACCCATCATCATAACTGGGCAGGGATACTATCTTCCCCAACCAGCCAATTCACTTGCCTCCATCTCACCCATTCCCCCACTCTCATCTCACTTCCCAGCACAGACCACATATCTTTTCTCGCTCCTCCACCCCAAACCCACGCAATGCAGACACTGGCCCGGACAATTCAGAAAAGCAAGACCTCGAGCTCTTAACCTCAAGCCTGAAACCCTATGCCCTAAACCTTAAGCTTGAAACCTTAAAGCCCGAAATCCTCCCCCTTCCTTACCTCGGGAATCGGCGTTCTCTTGGCTTCCGCCTCTCCCCAATCGAACGGCTCAGATTCAAAATCAAACGTGCCGTACATCTGAGCCATCCGTTGGCTCCCATCCCCAAATTTCCTCCTCCCATCCACGAGGGGTGCGTAGGGGTCGAGCAGCAACAATGAGGGGTCGAATCGGTGGCCCTCGCCCCACCCCTTTGGGCCGTCCACCTTGTAAGCATACAGCATGCCACAGAGAGGCACGTTCTGGGGAGAGGAGGCAGGCGGAAGGGGGAAAGAGAAGAATGGTTGAATGCTGGAATAGTGGCACCTGAAACAGAAGGGTCAAACATAGTTCTACGCCTTGACTGTTCTGATCTAAGGTGACATATATGAGAGAAGGCAGACATTCACGGTTCACCCCATCAGGCCTGCTCACCTCCACAGAAGCATGCCAGATGTCACCCGTTCGTTGGTTGCTGGGATCCAGGGAAATCTCGAGGTCAGGAGGCGAGCCCTGCTTGCCGGACAGGAAGCTGTGGGGACGAGAGTGAGGGGAACGAGTGGGGGTAGCAAGGAAGGGAAAGGCTGAGGTTGAGCGGTTAGCTACGAGGACTAATCTGATACCTGATTTGATACGGAATTGAATCTGTGAGGGTCCAGGCAGCGTGATAGGGGAAATGGCACCTTGGAGTAAAGACTGACATGGCCTACAGGTAGAGATTCACGGCTGTAGCGTGACTAGTAACTCACAGGCAAAGGGCCACGGCTGTAGCGTGCTTGGAGAAAAGAGCCAAGTGGACCGTTCCTCGAGCAGGCAGAGAGTCACAGCTGTAGCCTGCATGCTTGGCTCGCTTCTCCACTACAGACGGGTCCAGAGGGGAATGCGACTTACAGGCAGAGGGTCACGGCTGTAGCATGCTTGGAGAAGAGCGTAAAGTTGACGGTTCCTCGAGCAGGCAGCCGGCTGTAGCCGTCTAGCTTGGCGCGCTTCTCCACTAGAGACGGGCCCAGAGGGGAAGGTGAGCCGGTTCCAACCTTCACTTGTGACGCAGGGACGGGCGTGCTATAAGCGAGTGTTGTTACAACGGAGGAACGCCGCCAAGACGACCAAGGGGGCGAAGCTGGGGGGACAGAGGTGGAATCCGATCTCGAGCCGAGCATGCCCTGAAAGGGATGACGCGTACACGTAGATCAGAGAACGGAAACGGTATGCGTGAAATGTGATGTTAGCATGCTAAGGAATGATAATGTCAATGACATTGGCAATGAAAACGACAATGCCATTGGAGGTGTTCGAGACCATCAATCCGATCTCGAGCTACGCATGTCTCGGAAGATAGAAGATCAGTGATTACCATGATCGTGAGGACGATGGCAACGGAAACGACGATATCAATGGGGATGCCGATGGTGATGGTGATCACATCAGATTCATCATCTGCCGGTAAAGGCGAACCATCCGAGCTTTCCTACCTGGAAACTTGGAGTCAGCTCCTTGACGAAAACACGCCTTCCGATAGTACACGTGTCCAATGTAGAGACCCTTCGGACGAATCCCAGGCTGCCAGGTGGCGCCGCGGCGAAATTGCTCGCAGGCGGCCTGACGATGCTCGCCTGAGCATTCATGACGAATGCGACACCAGATGGAATGCCGGATACTACGCCGGAAATCACGCACGCTGAACGCGACGTCGTCTTTCCCCTAAACTTCTCGAACAGATGAATACGACGCTAGATTTTCCGACTGTGCACTGGAAGCTAATGAAAACTTGTTGAGACGGCGCTTGAGACAGGAGACCTGGCTTTTGACAACACGACCGATTCTCCTAGAGTGCACGAGCTAAATGTGTGATCGGAGACAGACGAATGGAAGCTTTGAGATTCGTTCTTCAAGTCTCCTACGCGATCCGGCCTCCTTTTAGAATTGGAGGGTCGTTGCAAGCTGAAGTCACACGCCTTGACAAGCCACCATTGCAGCTACAAGTGAGCAATCGCAGAATTAGAGTTATCTCAAGTTTAGCTGAAGGGGAAATGGTTTGCATGAACAATCACCTCAATGATCCATCGTAAGTGGTTACCACCAAAAGCCTGTCGCCACGCCTATTTCGTTCGACAACTCCAAGGGTCCCCCGTGCAGCAATCTCATATCTCCAGCGAGCGACACAAATCTACCATCGATCCTGCCGAATGATTGGAAGGGTGGAAGCAGGGCCGTGCTGATTGGCTCGACGGAAATTCTCTGCAATTGGTCGGTGAAGCAAAGGTGGCGAAAACGGAGATATTTTGTAGCATCGGTTCTGATACGTTAGGAACGATTGTGTGGGTTCGTGATTCAACTAAACAGTGCCGTAAAACGAGTCATGCTCGGTAAAAACAAACCAACTACCGTATGTGCAATGTACAAGATTCCAATTTGAACGTATGGCAAGTTTGATGTACAGAAGCTGGAACAGCTTCGACTGATTGTAAAACACCTTGATTTTACATTCACAAGATGTGTGTAGAGTTCACAAAAAGGACTTGCAATCATACAAATGACATGTAAAAAGGTCTCAGCTTCTGTGGTCCGGAACATGAGAAGGGACATCTCCGAATGTTTCCTCAATCTCAATCTTGTGGCCTTCTGGGACCTCCCATGGCTTCCACTCTGCTTGTTGGGAGAAGAAACACACGCAGCACCAATGTTGCGGCCAAGACACGCCACTCCCACACAATCCATCACACGCACGCACCCATACACAAATGCACGCAACCCCCCCCCCCCCCCCCCCCCCCCCCCCCAACACACACACACACATGCACACACACAAACGTACACACAAGCACAATCACACTCGTAAGAACCCATGGAATCAGCTGATCCAATGGCCTGAAGCTTTGACTGGCCATCACAGGACCCATCACAGGAACAAGCTGTGGCCGCAGGCCACAATTCCCTACTCCGAACATATCAGCACAACTTAGCCCTCTATCCACCTACTCCTCACTCACAAACCCGACTTACCGGTCGTCAACCCACCGTTGAACAGTTACACAGCGTGTCTAAGGCCGACGGCCCCTTGGCCTCGGAAGATCGGGAAGAGCACATGACAGTTCGCCGTAGAAGGCAATAAAGACGTCTCAAGCTTGGGCATGATACTGAGAGCGCGGAGTACAGTACCATCTAGAGGATACGCGAGTTGCGAACCGTGCAAAACATGAGCATACCGTAGAGGCCTCACCCCAATGCGACGTTGCGCGAAATCTGACGGAAGAATTCCTAACCCGATAGAAACCCTTACCTGACCCAACGCCGTCACCCCCATGCGACGATCGCGACACACCGAGCTCACACCGATTCGCGACCCCTGGTTCGCCGATCGCGCACCTACAGACCACCAATAACGCAACGACACGCTCTTGTCCCTGCAATAAACTCCTGCCACCCAACACCGCTCAAGACGACGGGTATCTAACTGGGTAACAGGACGAGAGTCTCACCAGCCATTTTAGGAATCAGTTCTAGCTCGTCCTTAGCTTGCTCGATCAGCTCCTCCACCTGTCCGCATTGCACGCGCGCTTCGATCCGCTCCGCTTCCTGCTCCTCCTCGCACACCGCCAGCCGGTGCCGCGTCAGCGCCTCCACGTTCTGCCTGTACACGGCCTCCTGAGGAATCACCTGGACGGCGCTTAGGGTTTGGTTGTAGAGGCCGATGAGCACCTGACGCGCGTTCGGGACAACATCGAGGCCGACGATGCCCGTCGATTCCTTCGCCTGCGCGAACAGCGCTCCTAACCGTCGACTCAACATGGCGGCTTGTGTACAATAGAGTACACTAATGCATGGGACGAGAACAGACTGAGTGTTAATAAAAAACAAAAATTTTACTTGCTGATGGAACACGTGCGTTCATGCCGGAGTGGTTAACGGGACAGACTTGAAATCTGTTGGGCTACGCCCTCGCAGGTTCGAATCCTGCTGAACGCGACGCATCTCCTGTGGTTCAAATGAAGTTACTCTCTGTTTAGGTGCTTCTTAGTCATCAGTCCAACCTCATATTTGGTGCTTCATCTCCTCATCAAAACCTTGCACAACTTGTACCGTATCTGCTCTGCTCATCAAAAGCTTGCACAACTTTATCTCCTCATCAGGTCTTTCGCAACTTTCATACTGTAAAGACGATTGATGCTGGAATGACAGCAATTCAGTAAAACAAACAACAAATGACAGCAGGCAACTCTACCCTGCCATCTCCTCTGCATCATCTCCTGCTGTTACAGTACACATGCATCAAAATCCTCAAAAATATCTAATGGCAAGAACCGGCCAGTGTCCCTTGCCTTCTCTTGTGCCTTCTCCTCCTGTGTGAAGCTACCACATTCAATAGGATATCAGCAACCGATTTTCTTTCTTTCTTTCTTTCTTTTCTCGCATCTTCTCCTGCCGCTTCAGGTCTACAGGGTCAGGGCTACAGAAAGTCCGTCGGCGGCGCGCTGTCACTTTACTTACAACCAGCATCTGGGAAAGAACCTCATGAAAACAGGCCAGTGTGTCCTGTCTTTTCCCGCATCTTCTCCTGCCGCTGCAGCTCCTTCAGAGGGTCAGGGCTCCGGAAAGACCTTCGACGACGGCTGCATACAAAGGAGTGAGAAAATGGAGGGACATAACGAGACATAGCGCAAAGTAAGGCTACGATGGAGAGAAACATTTACCATTCTGAGGATGGAACGCGATGATTACCATACCGTTCTCTCTCGTTCAAGATTGGAAACTCCGGCATGTCCTGCTGCGCCTTCGGCAGACGCTCAGGCTCCTCACTCAACACTAAGTGATTTGCAAAAGAGCGATACAATACTGACTTCAAGCATGGGAAGAAAACACAGACGTACCGTTCTTTTTCGTTCAATATCGGAAACTCGGGCATGTCTTGCTGCGCCTTGGGCAGCGGCTCCTCCCTAAACCACGCGTGATTCGCCGCATCAGCCGCGCTGATCCGACGGCTGGGATCGCACATGAGCATCCGCGACAGCAGATCGAACCCCGCTTCTGACAGCGTCGGCTTCCCGCCAATCGAAATCGCCGGGAAAAGCTCCCTCAGCCGATTCACCGTGAAAGACGGAAATCGGGCTCCCTTTTTGCACGCGGGCAGCTCAGAAAACCCTCGCCAGGTGTCGTCGGTGGGGGTTCCGAGGAGAGAAAAGATCTTCTGTAGCTGCTCTATCTCGGATTCGCCTTTAAAGAGTGGTTTCTTGGTCATTATTTCAGCCATGATGCATCCCATGGACCACACGTCGATGGCCGTGGAATACTGTTTCTGCCCCAGCAGCAGCTCCGGTGCTCTGGTGGGGATGGGTGGGAGATGGCCGGGGAGGCGCATGGGGGAGTATGAAAACGATGGAGTACGAAACTGGTCATTATTTTGGCCATGATGCATCCCATGGACCACACGTCGATGGCCGTGGAATACTGTTTCTGCCCCAGCAGCAGCTCCGGTGCTCTGGTGGGGATGGGTGGGAGATGGCCGGGGAGGCGCATGGGGGAGTATGAAAACGATGGAGTACGAAACTGGTCATTATTTCAGCCATGATGCATCCCATGGACCACACGTCGATGGCCGTGGAATACTGTTTCTGCCCCAGCAGCAGCTCCGGTGCTCTGGTGGGGATGGGTGGGAGATGGCCGGGGAGGCGCATGGGGGAGTATGAAAACGATGGAGTACGAAACTGGTCATTATTTTGGCCATGATGCATCCCATGGACCACACGTCGATGGCCGTGGAATACTGTTTCTGCCCCAGCAGCAGCTCCGGTGCTCTGGTGGGGATGGGTGGGAGATGGCCGGGGAGGCGCATGGGGGAGTATGAAAACGATGGAGTACGAAACTGGTCATTATTTCAGCCATGATGCATCCCATGGACCACACGTCGATGGCTGTGGAATACTGTTTCTGCCCCAGCAGCAGCTCCGGTGCTCTGGTGGGGATGGGTGGGAGATGGCCGGGGAGGCGCATGGGGGAGTATGAAAACGATGGAGTACGAAACTGGTCATTATTTTGGCCACGATGCATCCCATGGACCACACGTCGATTGCTGTGGAGTACTGCTTCTGTCCCAGCAGCAGCTCAGGTGCTCTGGAGGTTGGTGGTGATAGGTGATGGGAGAAAAAAGAAGGGGGTGGGTGAGTGGGGGGTATGGGAAGAGGAATGAGAGCCTTTGCCATGATGCATCCGAGGGACCAGACGTGGATGGTTGAGGGACCAGACGTGGATGGATGTCCCAGCAGCAGCTCAGGTGCTCTGGAGGGGTTGGGGGGGGATGGGTGTTGGGGGGAGGAGAGGGGGAAGCGGAGGGGGAAAAGGTTGCATGGAAAACTGGACACGAGGGCTGATGGAGATCATTAATATCGGCCATGATGCAGCAGAGAGACCACACTACTGCAGAAACACCTACCTGTACCACAGGGTAACCACAGGCTGGGTGTATGGCCGCAGCGGATCCCCATACTGCCTCGACAGGCCAAAGTTACACCTGCGCTGGAACACAGAAGTACTTGAGGTGTATTTTGAGGCGCCTCGTGCATTGAGGTGTACTTTGAGGCGCCTCAAAATACACCTGCACTGGAACACAGAAGTACTTGTAGCACAGCGAGGGGAACACCCACCTGTACCACAAAGTAACCACAGGCTGAGTGTACGGCCGAAGCGGATCCCCATATTGTCTCGCCAGGCCAAAATCGCATATCTTGATTCCCCCCGCGTTGTCCATCAGCAGATTGGACGTTTTCAAATCCCGATGCAGCACCCAATTCGCGTGCATGTAGCTTATCCCCTCTAGAAGCTGCTTCACTAAACACTTCACCTCCGCCTGCCCAAACGGCCTAGGCATCGCGTCTAAAAGCACCTTTAAGTCATGCTCTACATATTCCATAACCATAAAAACCCGATCCATGGATGAATTAACCACCATCTCCTTCACTCCCACGATCGCCGGGTGGTCTAGAGCCAATAGTATATTAATCTCCCGGAGGGATGTCAGAGGGAAACCCTCCCTCTCCTTCTCCATCTTGACTCGCTTCAAAGCGTAAATCTCGCCGGTTTCTTTGTCCCGAGCGCGATGCACCACACCGTACACCCCCTCCCCGAGCACGTCGAGCCGTTCGAATGAGTCTACGCTGCGACAGCCGCCGAATATGGCTTTCACCGCTGCTGCTTCTGCTGCTGCTCCTGCTGCTGCTTCTGACGACGAAGGGTCATGAGGTAGAGGGGACTTGGAGCTCTCTCTGTGCTTTTCAATCCTCCTTGCACAGGTGGGTGCACGGGGCGGCAGGCCGGCACTATCAGTTTCTTCGTTGTCTCCTTTTCTATCCCCATCACCCTCACCCTCACCCTCACCCTCACCCTCACCCTCATCCTCACCCTCACCCCCAGTCTCCCTGTCGGCCTTCTTCCTCCCCCCTTCCATACCCTCCCCATCGTCTCTCTCCTTCACACTCTCACCCGCCCTACTGCCACCCCCTTCACTATCACCACCCGCCCTCCCCCCCCTCCTGCTCCTATCTCCCTCTTGTTCCTCACCTTTTCCCTTCCCCTTCCCCTTCCCCTCCTCATCCCCCTCCCCCTCCCCCTCCTCCATATCAGTATCACCCCCCGTGTCTCTCCTTCCACCCCCATCACCAGGGGTATTATCCCTTCTTCTACCCTCCTCATCTGGGGTACTATCCCTTGTTCTACCCTCCTCATCTGGGGTATTAACCCTAGCTCTACCCTCCTCATCTGCTCTCTCTCCTGCTCCCTCTCCAGCTCCCTCCTCTTCCTCTTCCTCATCCAACCATCGACTACCCCATTTCGACCCACCCACTCCCTCCGTTCGCTCCCTTCCCTCCTCCTCATTCCCCCCTTCCTCCTCCCCATGCCCTGCTGCCATATCCCCCACCTCACCTTCCTCTCTCCACCCTTCCTTCTCTCCCTCTCCACCACTCATCTCCTCCTCTCCCCCCTCAGCTCTCCCCATTCTCCTTTCATCCCCCCTCCCCTTACCTTCGACCTCCTCCTCTATCTCCTCCATCTCTCCATCACCCCACCTGCTCCTCTTCACACTTCCCCTTACCCTCTTCCTTTCGTCCCCTTCCTCCTCCCCCTCTTCCTCTCCTTCCCCTCCCTCCCTCCTCCCTCTTTTCTTCCCCCCTTCGCCCTCCCCATCCTCCTCTCTCCCCTCTTCCCACTCCGCCCCTCCCTCCCCCACCTCCCTCTCTTTCCGCGCCAGCTCAGCAATCAGCCTCATCCTCTCTCTCTTCCTCGCTTCCAACTCCTCCTCTACCGCACTTCTATTCCCCTTGCTCAATAACCCTGCTACTGCTGCTGCTCCTGGCTTCTCTTCCTTACTCCGCGCATCCCCCCCCTCCCTCCCTCCATCATACCCCATACCTCTTTCCATACCTCTCCCCATGCCCCTACCCGTGCCCCTACCCATGTCCCCACCCAAGCCTCCCCTACCCATACCCCCATCCCTACCCATACCCCCATCCCTACCCATGCCTCTCCCCATTCCCCTTCCCATGTCGTTCATACCCCCCCTCCCCATTCCCCTCCCCATGTCGTTCACACCCCCCCTCCCCATTCCCCTGCCCATCCCGCCCCTCCCCACGCCCCAGTCCCTGCCTCGCCCTCTCCCCATCATAGCCCCGTCCCCAGCCCTCCACGCTCCTTCCCCTTGCCACTCCTCACCAGTCCTCCACTTTCCATCCCCTTGCCTCTCTTCCCCAGGTCTCCGGGCCTCATCCCCTTTCCGCCCATCCCCGGGCCTGCTTGTTCCATCCCCCTTCCACCCCTCACTGGCCCTCCCCTCACTAGTCCTGCCCTCTGTCCACTCCTCATCAGGCCTCCCATCCCCCCCTTGATCTCTCAAAAAGCTCCTGCCTCTCCCACCCACAGGCCCCCCTCTTCGCATCTCCCCATCCTCGTCCCTCCGCTCATCCTCATCTCCTGTGTCCTCTCCTCGCTTCTCCTCCCCTCTCCTCTCCTGTTCTCCTGCCTTTCGAAAGGAAGGCTTTTGAAACTCGCTGCTGCCGCCCCTGCCCCTCCCGTCCCCACTTCCCCTCCCATCCCCACTGCCCCTCTCATCCCCTCTCCCCTCCTTCTGTCCCCTCCCTTCCACCCCCTCTGACCCACCATGATCCTCCTCTGAACCATCCCTTCTCACTCTCCCCTCCCTCCTCTTCGCTTCCCTCCCTCTCTCTTCTCCTCTCTCATCCCTAACCAACCCCCTCCTCCCTCTCTCATCTCGCTCCCCCTCTTCCCTCCCTTTCTCTTCCTTTCCTCGATCTTCTTTAACCCTCCTCTCCTCCTTCTCTCTCCCTTCCCTCCCATGCTCTCCCCTATCCCTATCCTTCTCCTCCTTCCTCTTCCGTCCCTTCTCCTCCTCCCTCTTCCCCTCACGACCATCCCGCCCACTCTCTCGATGCCCATCCTTATGCCTCCCTTTCTCCCTCCCCTCCTCCCCCTCATCCTCTCTCTCCCTCTTCCTACCACCTGCCTTGTCACGACCATGCCTATCTGTTTCCTTCTCCCCATCCTTGTGCCCATCCTTGTGCCTACTTTCGCGTTCCTTCCCACGCCCGTCCCCACGATCCCTTGTCTCCTCACCTCCAACCATTGACGCCTTTTCCTTATCACTACTACGTCCCCTTACTTCTCTCTCTCTGTCTCTCCTTTCTTTTGCTTCCCCTTTTGGTCCCTCTCTCTCCCTCTCTTTCTCCTTCTCCTTCAACCTTTCTTTTTCTCGCTCCCTTTCCTTCTCGTGGCCTTTTCCGCTTTCCCTCTCCTCCCTCCTCTCCCCTCCTTTCCCTCCATCCTTCTCCCTCCTTTCCCTCTCCCGCCTCCTCAACTCATCCCCCTTATCATCTCTCTCCTCCCTTTCTCTTTCCTTCTCATGCCCCTTCTCCCTCCCCCCCTCCTTGTCACGCCTCCTCTCATTTTCTCTACCCCTCTCATGCCACCTCTCCTTCTCTCCCCCCCTCTCCCTCTCCTTCTCTCCCCCCCTCTCCCTCTCCTTCTCCTTCTCCCTCTCCTTCACCTTCTCCTTCTCCCTCCCCTTCTCCCTCTCCCTCTCACTCTCCCTCACCTTTTCCCTCTCTCCTCTCTCCTTCTCCCCGTCCCCCCTGTGCACTTCTCTCCTTTCCCTCCCTCCCTCCCTTCCTCCGCTCCCCTGCCCCTCACGCCGCTCCTCCTCTTCCCGTTCCAATCGCTGCGAATCCCCTCGTGCCCCCGGTCTCACACCCATGCTTTCCCCTCGCAAACCACACCTTTCACCCTCCTCTTCCTCCCCTATCTTCCCTACCTCTTTTCTCCTTCCTCCCTCTCCTCCCTCTCCTCCTTCCCCCTCCCTCAGATCCCCTCTTGAGCCTCTCCTAACGCCCATGCCCCCATCCGCCCTTGCACCAACCCTCTCGGCCTCCTCTCTCACTTCCCCTGCCTCTCCCTTCCGTCTCTCCTCTACCTCCTCTCTCCCCTCTCTACCCTCTCTCCTCTCTCTCTCCTCTCTGTTCCCTCTTTTTCCACCCTCCTCTCCCTCCTCTCGCTCCAACTCCTTTAAAACTCCTCTGGAGCCCTGCCGTACACCCATTCCTGTCCCACCACCCCTTTCACCAGCACCCTTGTCGTTCCCGTCATCCCTCCCCTCACCTCTCCCCTCACGCCTCTCCACAGCCCTGCCTCTCCTCCACGTCTCCTCCCCCTCCTCACTCGCCTCGCTATCACTCAGATCAGACGCAGACAAAGAAAGCTCCGATGATTCTTCACTGCTACTGCTGCTACTGCTCCCGCTCTTCCTCCTCCCAGCCTCTGCAGATCTCTGTTGCGCAGCCACACCTGCAATGACCTCCCGTCCTCCCTTCTCAAGAGAAACTTCTTCTTTCGAGTCTTGTGTTGGGAGTTCCCCCTGGCCTGCAGGTGTAAAGCCTGGCTGTTCGAAGTCCGCCCTCTGCGTCTCCTCTTTCCCGCTTGCACTGTCATGACCCTGCCCTCTCTCTCCTCCTGCTCCACTCGAGTTCTGACGCGCCTCATAAGCCGAACCATCGGCATCCGGACCCCTCTCTCCTCCTGCTCTACTCGCAGTGAGTAATTCCCTGCCTCTGTCTCTATCACTGCCTCTGTCTCTGTCACTGCCTCTGTCTCTGTCACTGCCTCTGTCCCTGTCCCTATCTCTGTCCATGTCCCAATCCCTGCCTCTCTCTCTGTCAATGACTCTGTCTCCATTCCTCTCGGTGCCCTTCCCTTCATCATACCTTCCATCCCCGCCTGCTTCCCCTGCTGCGGTCTTTCGTACCCTTGCATCTGCACTCGCAGCAATCTCCTCCCCTTCCTCGCCATCTCTTCCCCTCCTCATTTCGTCCCTAACACTTTCCGATTCCCGTCTCTCCACCCCTCCCGATCCTCCTATCCTTCCAGAATCTCTAAACCCCTCCTCTCCCTCCCCCTCCCGCTCATTGTCCCAAAAACCTTGCTCCTCCTCGTCTTCGCTCTCTCCCTCCCCCCAATCCACCCTCTCCTCCTCCTCTCCTTCCTCCTCCTTATCCTCCTCCCTCTCCCTCTCTCTCACTCGCTCCCCTTCTCCCCTGCCCGCCTCCCCCTTCGTCTCTACCCCGTAACCTCTTCTCCCCATCGCCTCCCCATTCTCAACCCCGGTTTCTATCACACCAGCCCTCTCCTGCGCCCCTTGCTCCTCTTCCAACTCGTTCAAATCATCCATCCAGTTCCTCTCCGCATTATCACGCTCCTTACTATCACGCTCGTCCCTATCACGCTCGTTCCTACCACGCTCCCGCTCCTTACTATCACGCTCCGTGAAGCCACCTCCCCCCCCAGGCTCCCTCACCCCACCTCCATCAAACTCCCCTTCCTCAATCTCCCCCTCCTCTCCCCCCAACGCCATCCCCTCTTTCTCCCCCCATGCCCCACCACCCATCTCCCCCTCCTCTCCCCCCAACGCCATCCCCTCTTTCTCCCCCCATGCCCCACCACCTATCTCCCCCTCCTCTCCCCCCAACGCCATCCCCTCTTTCTCCCCCCATGCCCCACCACCCATCTCCCCGTCCTCCTCCTCCTCACCATTACGATCATCACCACTCCCAACCGCATCTCTTTCCCTTCCAACCCCCACGTCACCCCTCTCCACCTTCTCCTCCCTCATCCCCTGGTCCTCAAACCCCTCGTACCCCCTTTCCCTGTTCTCGCCCTCCTCCCTCTCCGCCCCATCCCACCCCATCTCCTCTTCCCCTTCCTCTAGATCCCCAAAGCTCGGACGTACTCTTGCCTCTGATCCGAAACGGCTTCCGTTGAACTCCCTTCCCCTCTCGCGTGAGCCGTCCTTCGAATAAGAGCCTCTTTCTCGCGACTTGTCTCTAGAAGAAGCGTCCTTTTCTATCGAGTTGTCTTGTAACGAAGCACCTCTAGCTGCACTCATTTCCACACCCAGCGGGCTTCGACCAGCCTGGAAGCTCCTCACTCTCCGCTCGCTATTGTCACGCCCGTCAGAATCCCCCTTGCTCTGACTGTGACTGTGATTGTGGCTGTGCGAGGGAGAGTCCTTCTGCCAGTGGTGTGGGTATGGTCGGCCCTCCCTCTCTTTCTCCCTCTCTCTCTCCCGCTCCCTGCTCCCTGCTCTCTCCATGCTCCCCGTCCTCTCTCTGCTTCCCCAGCTCTCCACACTCCCCCTCCTCTCCACACTCCCCCTCCTCTCCACACTCCCCCTCCTCTCCACACTCCCCCTCCTCTCCACACTCCCCCTCCTCTCCACACTCCCCCTCCTCTCCACACTCCCCCTCCTCTCCACACTCCCCCTCCTCTCCACACTCCCCCTCCTCTCCACACTCCCCCTCCTCTCCACACTCCCCCTCCTCTCCACACTCCCCCTCCTCTCCACACTCCCCCTCCTCTCCACACTCCCCCTCCTCTCCACACTCCCCCTCCTCTCCACACTCCCCCTCCTCTCCACACTCCCCCTCCTCTCCACACTCCCCCTCCTCTCCACACTCCCCTCCTCTCCACACTCCCCCTCCTCTCCACTCCCCTCCTCTCCACACGCCCCCTCTCCTCGCTTCTCCCTTCCCTGCCGCCCATATCACTCCCTCCACGCTCCCTGCTGCTTCCGCGAAGCTGCTCCTTCTTATGCGGACTGCCGTCCGAACCCAATCGGGACCAGACCCCTTTACGCGTTACAGTGTTACCATCCCCAGGATCCCGCTCCTCCGTTCTCTCTTCCCTTTTCTCCTCCCTCCTCTCCTCCCTTCTCTCGTCCCTTCTTTCCTCCCTCTCCTCCCTCTCTTCCTCCCTTCCGACCACCCGCTCATCCCTCCCACCTCTCACGTCGCCTTCATCCCTCCCCCCTCGCTCCGCCCAATCAGCCCCCCTGCTCCTCCCCATCCCCCGCTCGCCAGCCCCCCTTCCGCTTCCGTCCCTCCCCCACCGCCCCCCTCTTCCGCCTCTAAATCCGCCGTCACCCCTGCCCTCCCTTCCAAATCTCCCCCTCCCACCACCCCAATTCCCGTCGCCGCCCCTCTCCTCCCTACCGAACCTCCCCCTCAGGCCTCCCATTCCCGAACCTACATCCCCCCTTCCACCCCCCCCACGGAACCGCGGCTCCCGGTCCTCTCTCCCCTCACCGCTTGCCTCCTTTCCCCCGTCCCGCGCCTCTCGTTCCGCACCTTGCAGATGCATCGGCGGAGTTCTTTCCCCTCCATGCGGGCGCATAGGCGAATCCCTGTCTCTGTCCCTGTCCCTGTCCCTGTCTCTGTCTCTGTCTCTATCTCTATCCCTTTCATGTCCAGTGGCCCTCAGTCTCTCGCGGAGATCTTCATTTGAAACCCTAACGCCTCCTCCTCCTCTCCTGTCGCCGGGACCTCTCGGCGGTAATCCACGGTCGTCCTTTTCTTTGACACTTCTCGCCAAATCTCCACCGTCCCTTGGATGAGCTGAGACCATTACCGGATCCCTCGACGAACGTTCCTGGTAGTTTCCCCTCCATTTCTCGCCATCGGAATAATCGACACCGTCCGATCTCCGTCCTCCCCCGCGCGTATCTCCAAAACTCCTCCCAGCCGTCGATCTGTCATCGGAATGATGCCTTCCAGCAACTCTGGCCGTTGATTCAGCAGACAGACCTTTTCGCTCTGGAGGTTCCGGATCCATCAAAACCGGGATCGGGAAACCCTAATGCACAAATTGATTAAAAAAGGAACAAGTTGGCCTACACCGAAATTAGGAAAATTAATGGAAAAATGAAACTAGGAAAATTGCAGGATCCACGAAAGCTAGTCAAACGTACATGGCCTCCAGTACGCGTCGGATCCGATCGGACGGTCCCGATTCAACCTCCGCCGCTCGTCCTAATCCAAGGCTGTTACAAACCTCCAATGCCCGCCGACGCAGCCAAGGGAAATGGCAGTATCGAGAATAGAGACGCGTACGGATAGGATAACTGATAAGAAAAGAATCTGGCGATTCAGGAAGACCACTATTGACCAGAAGAACGAATTGGTATGAGAAAAAAAAAAACGGATGGTGGTGGATGAGGTAAGGTACAAACTGCATGCCCTGAGGTCAGTGTCTCAAGCAGGCTTCCCCAGCCCAGTGTCCTTGGACTGAACTCCGCCTGTCGTGTGGAGAATCTTGAGGTTGGTGCAAAAGTTTTCAACGGGTACAGTGATTTTCCTCGTTAAGAAAGTAATTTGCACACTCTAAGAACTACGATGAAGCTGAGTTATGATTGATTTTATACTCTAGACAGCACATGCATATACATGGGATTTGTTCCTCTTATTGAGCGATGCCTCTCCACAACCTAAGTACTCTAGAAGTGAAATTCCTGCAGCTAATAACCAGCACAACAATAACAAAAATGTCATCTATAACCACACCTTTCCATTTCTAGGTATTCAAACTTCACTCACAAAACAGGATCAGCATTTATTCACACTATGATGGTCACTTCGTGTGACTCACCCTACACTACTGCACCATTCTAAGAAAGTGCACTACAATAAAAGCACCATCTCAGATCCATAATCAAGACTATCAGGACACAAATCACACTCCCATCTGAAACATGGACCACTTCGTTCCAGGAAGCCTCATGAGCTTCCAACATACCATTAGAAAACCATCGTCCTGTCCTTTTCTTTAGAAGGACCCAGCTGGAGCTAATTTGTAATACTCACTACTAGCAAACGGTCAGCTTCCTTAGCTGTCCTGTTAACTATTTGCTGCTGGGGCAGCAGCAGCAGCAGCATCTGCAGATGCATAATTATCGTACTCATCCCCTTTATTGCCTCCCTCGTTACCATCCTCACTACTCAGAGTAGCTGCTGGTACATCCTCTGCAAGTTCATTGCTACAGTCGGGAGGGTCATACGTGTCATACAGGAGGGGCTGATTCGAGATTTGAGAGGTCTCAAAAAGGGTGTTGCTAGAGTCGGGAGGATTGTACGTGTCGTACGGAAGGGGCTGGTTTGAAAGCAGCAAGGATCCGTAGGGGGAGTTGTCAGTGGTTAGGGTTGAATGCTCCTGGTCGTGCTGTGGGAGGGGAGGTGGGAGCGGGGAGGGAGGGAACGGAGGGACGAGGGATGAGGGTTAGAAGGTTAGGGAGTAGCAGTGTCAGTGGTTAGGGTTGAATGCTCCTGGTCGTGCTGTGAGAATGGAGAGCGGGGAGGGAGAGCGGGGAGGAAGAGAGGGAGGCGAGACAGTGGAGGGAGGAGATTTAAGGGAAAGAGGAGGTTTGTGCACTACAGTCACATGAATTACTACAACACAACACTCGATACAGTCACACTCACCAGAGCCTCCATTCACTCACCCTACTTGCATACAATGCTCCAGTCACACTCGATACAGTAACACACTAACTAAAGTCACACTCACCAAAGCCTCAAGTCTCTTCAACAGCTGCACCACCTCCCCCATGGGGGGTCAGTCTGTCGGTTCAGCTGCCTGCCTTATACGCCTTACTCATAGCAGTCACGTCACACACATTACTTGCACACAATGCTCCAGTCACACTCGATACAGTAACACACTCACTACAGTCACACTCACCAGGGCCTCTAGTCTCTTCAATGACTGAACCACCTCGCCCATGGGGGGTCGGTCTGTCGGCTCAGCAGCCACGCACGCCTGTGCCACGGCTGCTGCTTGCTCCAGATCACCAAGTGACACCTGGCGGTGCGATGGGAAGGGGGGGAGCATTATACAGATGAGACTGGGAGCGCATTCCTGGTGTGTGGAGGGGGTTGAGGGAGGGTTCGTTGTCTGTCGGTTTAGCAGCCACACACGCCTGTGCCACTGCTGCTGCTTGCTCCAGATCACTGGGGTGATACCTGATGGTGTGACAGGGAAAGGAGGGAGCATGTACAAATGAGAACAGGCGAGGGGAGGGAGTTGCACATTGATCAACGTCCATCGAGCCCATACACAAAGGCATTTGGCCGAGAAAAATTGGTGGTAGCCTCATCGAGCGCATACCTAGGCAAACAAACAGGCCACCAAGAGACAAGAAAATCCAAGAGAGTCTCACCTGGGAAGCAATTTTGGGGTCCAAAAGCTCGTCTAGTCTTCCAGCATTCCCCAAGCGAGGTCGCGCCCACGTGACTAAGTTCTCATCCCCTGGGGGTTGACTCATGTCCACAGGTTTCCTCCCTGTGAGCAGCTCTAGAAGCACCACGCCATAGCTGTACACGTCAGAAGCAACCACCAGATGACCCGTCATTGCGTATTCCGGGGCAACATACCTGGGAGGAATGGGAAGGGGAGGGGCAGGGGCAGGAGGGGAAGAGGCGGTGAGAGTGGGGCAGGGGCTGGGGCTGACTCATGTCCACGGGCTTCCTCCCTCCCTGTGAGCAGCTCCAGCAGCACCACGCCATAGCTGTACACGTCAGAGGCTACTACGAGGTGCCCCGTCATTGCATACTCTGGGGCGACAGAACTGACAAAGCGGGGAGGGGGAAGGGAAGGGCAGGGGAGGGAAGAGGCAGTGAAGAGGGGGGGCGTTGACAGGCTTCCTGCCTGTGAGCAGCTTCAGCAGCACCACGCCATAGGTGTACACGTCACTCGCGACCACCAGATGGCCCGTCATGGCGTACTCTGGGGCGACGTAGTTGAGAGGAGGAACACGGAGGTGAGGGGCAGGGGAGGGAAGAGGCAGTTCGAGGGGGGCTGGGTCATGTCCACTGGCTTCCTCCCTCCCTGTGAGCAGCGCCAGCAGCACCACGCCACAGCTGTACACGTCACTGGCTACCACGAGTGAGCAGCTTCAGCAGCACCACGCCACAGCTGTACACGTCGCTGGCTACCACGAGATGGCCACGAGTAGAGAGGGTGTTTTTGAGACGTCTCAAAAACGTCACTGGCTACCACCAGATGGCCCGTCATGGCGTACTCTACTCTGGGGCGGCGTATCTGGGAGGAAAGGGGAGGGGAGGGACAGGTGGGACAGAGGAGCGAAGAGGCAAAGAGCTGTGAGCAGCTCCAGCAGCACCACGCCATAGCTGTACACGTCGCTTCGCTGGCTACCACGAGATGGCCCGTCATGGCGTACTCTACTCTGGGGCGGCGTATCTGGAGGGGATGGGAAGGGAGGATGGGAGAGGGGTTCATCTCATGTCCACAGCACCAGCCTTCCTCCCTGTGAGCAGCGCAGCGCCAGCAGCACCACGCCACAGCTGTACACGTCACTGGCTACCACCAGATGGCCCGTCATGGCATATTCAGGAGCCACGTAGCTGTGTGGAAGTGAAGAGAGGGGGAGGAAGGGCGGGGTTGGGTTTGGGAGTTGGGAGGGGGATGGGGGGGCAGGCAGGGGAAGCCATATCTAGTGCAGCAGCCTTCAGTCAGTGAGAAGCTCCAGCAGAACATCTTGGTCTCCATCTTTCCGCACCTCACCTCACCTATCCACACATGCCCCTCACTCACTCACCCAAACGTGCCCATGACGCGGGTCGAGATGTACCCTTCAGGTCCCTCCGGGGCCGGTTTCGCCAGCCCAAAATCCGCCACCTTAGCAAGAAAGTCGTTCTCCAGAAGGATGTTGGAGGACTTGAGGTCTCTGTGAATGACGAGGGGCTGAGAGTCCTCGTGCAAGTAGGCCAGCCCCCTCGCTGCCCCCAGTGCTACCCTCATGCGCGTCGCCCAGTCGAGAATGATCTCCTTAGAGAAGGAACCTGTGATGGGAGGGGAGGGGAGGAGAGGGGAAGGGATGTTGGAGGACTTGAGGTCTCTGTGAATGACGAGGGGCTGAGAGTCCTCGTGCAGATAGGCCAGCCCCCTCGCTGCCCCCAGCGCCACCCGCATTCGCGTTGCCCCAATCCAACACTATCTCTTTGGAGAAAGAGCCTGGAGAGGGGGGGGAGACATGGGGAAGGGATGGGATGGGGGAAGGGAGGGTATTTGATGGGAGGAGGAAGAAGCGACAAAGAATGATTTGAGACCATGCACCGTGAGACCTTGTAGAAAGGCGCCATCAACAAGCGGGGCGAATTTTGAGTCGACTCAAAAGTCTTTTGAGTCGACTCAAAAGTCAGAAGCGGCAAGGAATGATTTGAGACCTTGTACCGAGAGACCTTGTACCGAGAGACCTTGTACCGAGAGACCTTGTAGAAAGGCGCCATTAACAAGCGGGGCGCGGGGAATAGGAAGGGAGGGGCACTGGGGGAAAAAACGGAAGGGATGGAAAAGGCAGGCACTCACCGTGCAACCAGGCCTCCAAAAGGGGTTGGGGGAGGGCATGGTAGAACAGGAAGGGAGGGCACATACCATGCAACCAGGCCTCTAGACTCCCGTTGGGCACGAGCTCATAACACAGCAGCTGGTGGTGATGGGGGGCGCAGTAGCCAATGAGCTTCACCAGGTTCCCGTGGTGCAGCGCAGGCGATTTAGCATCTCCACCTCCACCACTACTTTTGAGACGTCTCAAAAGTCGTCTACTTACATGCAGGCGACTCAGCATCTCCACCTCCACCACAAACTCCCTCAGGAGGAGGGTGTGTGATGCACCCACCCTTCACTCACCCACCCACCCACCCACACACCCACCCGCAGACGTGCTAGCAACAGGAGGGGCGCATACCATGCAACCAGGCCTCCAGACTCCCGTTGGGCACGAGCTCGTAGCACAGCAGCTGGTGGTGGTGAGAGGCACAATAGCCAATGAGCTTCACGAGGTTGCGGTGGTGCAGGCGGCTCAGCATCTCCACCTCCACCACAAACTCACACAGGGAGGGGTGCACACCCATCCATTCACCCACCCCACCCAACCATGTACCCACCCACCCACCATGCAACCAGGCATATCTTGAGCTGAGACTTCTAAAAAAACATATATGGCAGGAAGGACACATACCATGCAACCAGGCCTCGAGACTCCCATTAGGGACAAGCTCGTAGCACAGCAGTTGATGGTGGTGGGAGGCACAATAGCCTATCAGCTTCACGAGGTTCCGGTGGTGCAGGCGGCTCAGCATCTCCACCTCCACCACAAACTCCCGCTCGCCCTGGCCCCCGCCTCCCCCGCCGCCCTTGGCGCGCCCGCTGCCTGTCACGCGCAGGCGGGTGAGGCGCTTCACTGCCACCTCCTGCCCGTTCTTCAGCCTCCCCCGGTAGACGCGTCCAAATCCGCCCTCCCCTAGGTAGTTGGCGTGGTCAAAGCTGGGGAGTGAGTGTAAGGGAGGAAGGGGGAGGGAGGGAGGGAGGGACATGAGGGGAGAACCACAGGCGGGTGAGCCGCTTCACTGCCACCTCCTGCCCGTTCTTCAACCTTAGGTATACGCGACCGAACCCGCCCTCCCCTAGGTATTGGCATTTTCAAAATTGGAAGGCGGGGGGTTAAGGGAGGGGTCGGGAAGGGATGGAGGGATATGAGGGGGCGGGTAGGCGAGTGAGCCGTTTCATTGCCAGCTGCCAGCAACGTACTAATTAGAAGCCTCTGCCAGCAACGTACTTATTAGTAGCCTCTGCCAGCTCAGCAAAGGAGAAGACGCGGACGCTCATTGGCCGAGGGAGAGAGGATTGATTCGTTGACTCGGCCACTGGTGTCTCTTGCATACCCATTCCACTCCCCCTGTCAACCCCACTGCCACCACCACTGTCCCCTCCTCCTCCTCCCCCTCCTCCTGCCCCTCCTGCTCCTCCTCCTCCCTCTTTTCCTCTTGCGCTATCACCCTCGCTGTTATCACATCCGTTGTAGCCATCATCAGTAGCACCATTCCCTTGTGAAAAACTCTTTCGTTCTGACGCGTTTTTGGCAGCAGCAGCGGACGAAGCTTCCCTCACCATCTGGCGAAGCTTCTCCTCCTCCCCCCCTTTCTCCATGTCCCTACCGTCTTTCCTCCTCCCAGGCACGCAGCAGCAGCAGTAGATCGTGACTATAACGATCAGTGCTATAAGCACCGCCGCCCCTGCCAGTAACCCTATTAGTGCTACAGTGCTTATACCGCTGCTGCTACCGCTGCTCCCGTTGCTCTCACTCCCACTCCCACTCCCACCACTGCTACTACTCCCCTCACTGCTGCTGCTGCTGTTGCTGCTGCTCTCTCCACCGTTGGATTTGTTATCTGTGCCATCTGAGTTGGGCTGATCCGACGGTGGTGCAGGGGTGGGGGCTTGGGGTGGCGGAGGGGGAGACGGAGGGGGTGGGGGACCTGGCGCAAATGGAAGAAAAATGGGGGCACGAGGGGGAAGGGGTCATGCACGGGAAGGGGGACACGAGAGGATGAAGCAGAGGATAAGGGGGAAGCGGGCCAGGAGGGGAACAGATAGGCAGGAGGGGGAAAGGGGAGCGCGAAGGAAGAGCGGGGTACGCGGGGAATTGGCGCGAGGGGGAAGGGGAGCTTACTGTGAGGGGGTGGCGGGGGCGGCGCTAGTTGCACCAAGCTGATCAACGTGTAGTTACTAAACACATCTCGGTCCAGCGTTACTTGTCGTCGCGACAGCCGCTGGCGAGTGCTGTTCACGAACTTCGACGAAAACGTGACGTCGTGGCTCGGCAGTAACAATAGGGTTACCGCCGCGCTGCTTCCGTCGGTTCTCTGTAACGCCCTTCGCTGGATCTGATCCTCCTGCAAGGATAGCTCACGTGAAAGCGCCTGTGTGGGAAAAGAGAAAGAGGGAGGGAGAAAACGCGGGGAGAAAGGGGAAGCATGCGTATTATTTCTGCGAGGCGCCACAACAGCGGGCGGCTATTTAGAGTCGGAAGGCGGCCAGCAGGATCAGAACAAAGGAGACAGACGGGAGGAGGAGAAAGCAACAGCGGTTCCGCCTGTTCCTCTCAAAACCGACCCGACATCCGACTGCCCACCTCACGATCTATTCTTGATAGCGTCTATAAAATCGCCCGCCTGTCCCCGATAGAATCCTTCCCGTTACCTGGATAAACGGCCGGAAGTTCTTCTCGATATCGGACGCGTTAGAGAACTCGATTTTCAGCTCCAACGGCCGCACGCACGAGCAATTCCCCTTGGTCGCGGAGGGACTCAGCGCCTCCCACTCGTGGTTCCCGCACGCACCCGCGCAAATCTCCGCTGCTGGCGCTCCTCCCGCGAGAGAGCGGGGCCGCGTCCGACCGTTTGAGAAGGACTCAGGAGTTAGAGAGGGCTCAGATACGGAACCAGGCGTCGATGCGCTCCGGACGACGGGAACGAGGAGCGATAGAAGCACCGGGACCAGCAGCAGCACCAGCTTCAGCCGCCGGCGCAGCCATGGACTGTGAATCAACTCAGGATGCAGAAAGCTTTGGTAACTGCGACCAATGTAGACATTTCTCGACTTATTAGAGCCGACTGGTCTAATGTCTTGATTAAATCTGCTTCGACTGTGGACTTCGAGGCTCGAGCAGAGCCCAGCCTTCGTAGATGCGTCATCAGAGTTGTCCTTTAAGTTCTGGCACTTAGAGTTAAGTACGGCGCAATTTGGAACGGCATCGGGGCTGGAATGTTCTCTACATCTGTAACTCAGAGCGATTACATCTCTCTCGGATGAGATTATCTGGTCGACAACGAGGCGTGGGACTGCGACAGTCATATGGCTATATTTCGAGGAGCCTCAAATTACGAGCGGCAACGCGGCTGTAACAGTCATACGGATGCGCCAGGGTGGCTCTGGTTACCACAGCTGGTCCGTTCCCTAGACGAAGTCGGGAATTTCGAGCTACAATACGGATAGGCGCACAAACAGTTCCTGAGGCGTCTTTAGAATGCGTATGGAGCGTGCAGACCGTCGTTCGTGATTGGGTTAATCGATCGTGCGGGAACGCCTGTGTTAGCCACGTCAGCCCTATTAGAAAAATCGTCAGGAGTTTCGGGCCGTTATACAGAAAGGCTATTCAATAATACCGCTATCGGGAATAGATTGTGAGAGCCTCACCTACGGGGCAACAACAAAAAAAGGTGACAGCCAACAGCCTGCCTAGTCTATGATCATCAGTATGGTCACTGGATTACGGTACGGTTTAGGCGTGAACGCCTCAGCACATCAGCTATTGAACAGAGCACGAAACTCGTCAACTCAAAGTCCAGCCTCCTACGACATGGCATGACAACCCCTAGGTTCCGGCGGTATGACACGGTGAAGCAGTGACCTAGGGAAGTGCGCGTGGGAAGGAAAGTGATGAACTCGAGGGGCTGATGAGAGGCTCGGAAGGGACGGCGGGGTGACCTAGGGAAGAGATCCAAAATGTGGGGAAAGGAGAATGTACTCGGGGAATGAGATTGAGTCCGTTTGTTATGCAAGAGGGATGTGGCTCGGTTAGCTTTGGTTGCCGATGTTTGGAGAAAAGTTTTGGTTCCGGCTGTCAGGTCCGTTTTTGGTCCGAGAGGCAAACGAAAAACTTTGTGTAGCTCAGTAGGCGGCGCACACAGAGCCAAGGTTTTTCTGCCCAGGGCCTGCGCTTCGTCTGCGGAACAGCGGGAGTAGGAAGATGACCTAAATTTCGGCCACACCGAGTCGTTCTGGCAACCTTTGACAAACGGGGGCAGGGACTTCCGCCAAACCAGAAGTTTGGTCTAGAGACCAGCCGAATCGCGACAGCATCCATGAGCTTCGCGGTTCGAGCAAATTGAGCGGCTGCCGCAACATAATTCCACGAAGCACCCCTCCCCGGGTACTGTATCCTTCCGATGTGAAAACGAACCAATCACTGTTGAACGACTTGCTAGCTCTACACTGATAAATACACTGTTGGCGGTAAGGTGTTGAAAAGAGAGGAAAATACCAGCTGCCACTGAAAACCTCCTTTAATGAAGTGAAGCCTTCCAAGAACAATAGCAGGATGCCAAGCACCCATTAACACCTACCGATTAGCGCGGTATGCTATTATGACAGACCATAACACGCTTAATAAACTGCCAGCAGGACACTGTACACATAGTGAGCCATGAATTTTGCAACCAGACCACAAAACTTTGTATCAAAACTCCAGTCACACACGATCTTGAATTTTACTAATCAGAATCCTTCTTCCCAGCATCTCCACTTCCCAATCCGGCCTCCAAGTCTCTCCGTACCTCCCCTCTCCCAACCCCGCCACCAATGCTACCCACACCCGAACCTGATCTCTGTGGCCGCGACTGCTTCGGGGACTGCTTAGGAACAAGGCCCACACTGCTACCAGCGGCGCCGCCGCTGCTACTGCCGCTGACTGCTGCTGCTATGGGAGAGGAGGGGTAGAGGAGAGAGGACATGCCCACTAGCTGTGCCACCACTGCACACGCCATCACATAGGTCTTCCAACCCTGGGGGGTGATGGGACGCACAGATGATTAGAGGAAACATCTGCCCACTAGCTGAGGCTGTGGGGAGAGATGTCCAATGAAGGGCGAAAATGGGGTGCGGTGTGCGCATGGGCATTGGGACGATGGGATGCTGGGGGGATGAGATAGTGGGAGAACGGGATGAGTTTGGGGATGGGAGGATGGTGGGGGAATAAGGAGTGATGGCGGGATGGAGCCTTGCTCACCTTATTGCGAGGGTTTTGTGCGTCGAAGATTTTGAGAGAGAGGATGATGGCGATGAATCCACAGATTATCACCAGCCTCCCAACCTGGTGGGGTAGAACGGGGGAGATAGGAGAAGGGCGGGGGGAGAGGTGGGGAGGGGGGGAAAGAGGAAGAGGAAGAGGAAGAGAAAGAGAAAGAGATCTTGAGTGACTGTTGCTCAGAAGAAGCGTGTGCATGAAGCATCAATCGTGAGGGCGAAGATGATGGGTCCAAATCCACAGATGATGACCAGTTGCCCCACATGGTGAGGTCGAACAGGGCAGAGGGGGAGGAATTGGATTGCAGGCTCCCAATGCGCGCTCTGGAGATGCGAAGAGTGTTCACGTGCAACAAACGCGCAGCCATGCATGGGGCATGATCAAGTGCGCCTGTAAGTACGGAATACGGATCCTCAAGCGCACACTCAGTCACCACCCACCCACTGAGGTGACTTTTGAGTCGACTCAAAAGACGCCCAGCCATGCATGGGGCAAGCTCAAGTGTGCCTGTATGTACAGACCCTCAAGCGCACACTCAGTCACCACCCACCCACTGTCCGGTGCATAAGTACAGTCGACCAATAAGCATCGCCGTGCATACATCAACCACCCACGATACGGTGCAGGAAGTGCAGTCGCCCAGTGAGCGCCCTCGAAATCCGCAGAGTACAGCAACACGCCCAGTAGACCCCCTACTCCGCCAGGATGACAGCCGACACGCCCAGCCACGAAGGGAGCATGTTCTCATGCACCTCAAACACACCCAGTCACCACCCACCCACCATGCGGTGCAGGAAGTGCAGTCGCCCAATCGCAGAGTGTTGAAGTAGAGCAACACGCCAAGCAGCAAGCAGCCCCCCCAGCTCCGCCACCAGGAGTACAGCCGACACGCCCAGCCACGCGTGCGACGTGCTCCAGTGCGCCTTGATAATATCCCCTCGAACAGAATCAGAAACCACCCACTCACCATGCGGTGCAGGAAGTGCAGGCGGCCAATGAGCGCTCTTGATATGTGCAGAGTGTTGAAATACAACAGAACTCCTAGCAGCCCCCCCAGTTCCGCCAGGATCACAGCCGACACGCCCAGCCACGCGTGCGGCGTGCTGAAGTGCGCCTTGAGGCGCGCGTGGCGGTGGGTGAACATGGCGAGGGTTCCAGCGAGCGCTAGGACAAGCCCCGTGAGTTGAAGGCCCAGATGCAGCCGCATCGCCTCCTTGCGCCGCTGGGGGAGCAGAAGAGAGGGGAAGAGAAGAGTAGCTGGATTTATTTGTGCAGACTCAGGTGCAGACCCTGGTGCAGCCGCACGGCCTCCTTACGCCCCTGGGGGAAGGGGGAAGGGGGGGTGTGGGGGGGGGGGGAGGGGGGGGGGAGGGAGAGAAGGAGGGGAAGCGGGGACAAGCTGAAATTATATAAACAGCTGACTTGGGCGGTCTACGACAAGGGAAGTTGCAGACTCTGTCAGGTGCAATCGCTGAGGCACGCATACTCACAAGGATAAAGCGACGGTTGTGATTGTTCAGGAATAAGTACAAGGTGAGAAGCCGAAGGAGGAGGAGGGTGAGAAAAATTGTTGCCCGAGATACAGGCCCATAGAAACACTTACCCGTGAAGGTCTGGCGACGATAAAGACGCCTTCAGGGATAACCAATAGGAAGGCCAGGGTCATGAGTGCCACGTGGACGGCGAAGAGTGATTTTTCGTAGAATGTGACTGTAATGAAGATCGGCGAGAGCACCGCGAGGATGTGGAAGAGCCATGGCAGGTCCCCTGCTGCCATTGGCCAAACTAGAATTAAGAATTAAATCTACGATCTCTATAATTCAGTATCTGATTTTTAGGGATGCGAATTCCAAACAACCACGAAGTCGAAAGCGCCTCGGGTTAGCAGACGAGACGATCCCACGTGGTCAACAAGATTTGCCGGAGTGAAATTGATCGTTCCTCTAACGACTGCGTCGACAACCTGAGCACATCAAAACTGTGGGTCCAGACCGCCTCGCGTGGTTGCGAAAATCCACTCGCGAGTGGTTCAGGCATGAGACTAGACTGACTAAGAATAAACACGTAAGTGCTGACGATAGGAGCTAGACTAGGCTGGAGCTAGACTAGGCAGGAGCTGCACTAGGCAGGAGCTAGACTAGGCTGGAGCTAGACAACTGCTGTTGAGTGTCTGACCTCGATAATATACTCTCAGCAGAACACAATAATGCTGGAGTTCCCAAGAAGATACAATGGTTTTTTTGCGTTTCAGTTTCGTGTTCGTGCTGCTACGTATCGTCACAAACAATATCTAAGGTTCTGCTTTTAATTTACCAATACAGTGTTATGACACAATACAACTGTTTGATGTGTTTTTGTAAGCTCGATGCTTGTAGCGTGAATCACAACCATGTGACGCAATCGGTTTTGAAAGGAGAAAATCCTTCCAGCGACTTCGTCTAGCGAAGTTTCGTTATGTGAGGAATTTTCGTCGAGCTGTCTCGGAAATTCTGCCTACCGCGTCGCTGATCACAGCGAAAAGTGCATCGCCGCCACGCCTGCGCAAATCACAGCCAGAGAGATCCGCCGCCGGGTTACCCAGCCACTCGCTCGCAACACGACTGCTGGCGTGTCAACAACACTACAAAAACCAGCTTCCACCACACACTATCCCTCCAAAAGCTCGCACGGGCAGCCCCACAAAAACCGCATTTTTCTGTGACAATGATTTGTTTTCCAGCCTCCACGACCCCAACGGCCGTTTTTCTCATTGGCTTAGAATGCTGAAATTCCTCAAATTTTATGCACTCAAGAACAAACCTTTGAATCTGGCTCATCCTAATCCAACGGTCAAAAGGCTCACACGGTCAGACATCCCCGTTCCGAGAACGGAGGGATCGATTCACTGTACTCAGCCACCTGCCCGGCGCCTGAGGTTTATAGCTGGCTTGCCCCACCGCGGATTTGATATTCCCCGCGGGTAACACCAGGGAGATCATCGCGCGCTTCCCCGTAGAGCCCCCCTCTTTCCGCCAGTACAACTGCCAAAGCTACTGCAGTTTCTCTCCGCCATTCACATAAATCAGAATCCAGCAATCCGCCATAGCTTCATCATATTATCAGTTTATCATTCCACTCCTCACTTCTCTGCCTTCGCTGGGATCAGTTTCGGTCTCGAATGGTAGCGTGGTACCTGCTTTCCGACTTAGGTATCTGGGAGTTTTTTCATCGTCGAGAACGCATCCATTCGTCTGCCTCGACCTATTTTTCAGCTTGTTCTGGCTCCACAACTCACCGCTCTACCACACGAGCTTCAACCATCGTTCTGTTCCTGGTTCCTCTATAACTTCTGTTCGAATCATATAGCCAGACTGAGACAAAGGCCCCTGCCAGGTTAACTTCTTCCCTCGACAGATCATGGCTGCCGTGAACACCCATTCAAGACGACACTCGTGGGGTCAAGTCCAAACGACCAGCCAAATTGCTAACCATGAATTCGTTCATCCTCCTTACAGAGTTCCCCCCAAACCATCCACGCTATCTTCAGCTGTCTCCACACCATCACCAGCAGTTTTTAGGAGCAGCCGAGGTGTCAAGCTCCCCGGATCGACTGTTGTGGACGATTCTAGGTCTTTGGCCTTCCATTCATCCGCGTCTCTCGCGAGAGATTCTATCGAGGATCGACTTCAGCGAAATCCTAACGAAGCCGTGCGACCTCTCGGCTCTCGCGCGCGAAACGCCTTTTCCGCGGACCTCCCGGTATTGTCCTTCTCGATAGAGGAACCAAGCTCGTTCGGTGTACCTTCCATCGTTCCCGTAAGTAGAGGCCCGAACAGTTCAACACGCTCGACCGAACGTATACGGGAAAATCCGTTTTCGTCGGTTCTAGATAATCTCCGCTCGTCCGGCTTTTCTCAGCTAATCGACCAAGCATCCAGCCGTTTGCACCGCATTTCACATTCCGCCTTAGCTTTAGGCAAGAGAATCTCTCCTGGCCTTCGCAAGGAGGCCTCCGCTGATCGGGGGACGACCATTGATAACGAGGGTGGCGGGGAAAGCTGGCGCAGAAAGCGCGCGAGCATGCGCGCAGTGTTCGCGGCGCTGGACGCGGACGGCGACGGGGTGATCTCCGCGGACGACCTCCGCGCGTACTCCGCCCAGCGCGGGCTCCCCGCGGGGTACGCGCTGGAGTTCGTGAGCCGCGCGCAGCATGGGCGGAGGGGCGCGGAGGAGCATTTATACGGGGAGTGGCGGACGGATCCGCAGGGTTTGCGCAACGGCTTGTCTGGTGGCGGATGGAACGGCGCGGGGTGCACGGCGGGGGGGCTTCAGGCAGGCGGAATGGCGGGAGCTGGCATCGGCGGAATGCCGATTTTGGGAGGGGGGGAAGGAGTGGCGTCATGTGGACAGGCAGGGTCAGGCGGAGCGAGCGGAACGGGCGGAACGAGGGGAGGCAATGTGGCGCTGTGCCTCGCGTCAGCGGGGTTTGCGGCGTCGTCCTCCCAGGTAGCTCCTTCTACAAGCTTTACTGTCTAGCTCCGAGTCTATTCTTCCTAACACTTCTTTCAGTCAGCACTTACCGCATCTTAAAACTCCTTTTCCCCGCCATCCGTCCCCTCAGGCGCTCCCGCCGGTGGACCTTCCGGCGCTGCTCTCCTCTGCGGCGCAGCAGCTTCAGCGCGGGCTGGGCTCGGCGCGCTTGCACCTCAGCAGCCTCAGCAGCGGCGGAAACGGCGGAATCGGCGGAAGCAGCGGAATCAGCGGAAGCGGCGGCGGCGGCGGCGGCGGCGGAATCGGCGGCGGCGGCGGAGTGTCGTATGCAGCATTCGAGGAGTTCGTGGATGCGAGGGACAGGGTCCTGTGGGACTCGTTTAGATGCATGGACAGTAACGGGGATGGCCGCGTGTCGCAAGCGGACCTCGAGCGCAGCATGAGGGTGAGTACTATACATGCACTTTCCCCAAGGCCACTCCTCCCTAACCACGCCTCTTCTGGCGCCTAACCACTCATACTTGCCTTCCCCCTCGATCGATTCCGTTGATCCCTAAACCTCGATCGTTGAGGCGCATCAAAAGTCACTCGCTCACACTCGTACGCCCCCCTTCTTCTCCCGCACTCTTTCCACCAGGACCTCGCGTCCCGTTGCAACCACGCTGCTTCTGCCAGCCCCATCAGCACAGCCGGTAACACGGCCAACGTCACCACCATCACTACCAACCCAACTGCTGGCAGCTGTACTCAATCCAGCAGCTGTACTCAGGCCAGCAGCAGCACCAACCCTGTGCGGCTGGGACAGCCGTGCTCTGTGGATTCCGTTGGGCGGACTTGTAGCGGGAAGATGGTGAGAGCCGTGCAGCAGCAGCCTGTTCTGCAGCAACAGCAGCAGCAGCAGCAACAGCAGCAGCAGCAGCAGCAGCAGCAGCAGCAGCAGCAGCAGCAGCAGCAGCAGCAGCAGCAGGAGAAGGCAGTTTTGCAGCGGATTAGACAGCAGGCGCGCAGAGGCACTGCTGCTGGGGATCCGTTGTCTCAATCCGTATCATTCGAGGTAGGTTGCCCCTGCTTCCACTGCTCAAGATTCGTATCCTTGGTATCATCTGCTCGTCTCTCCCTCGCAATCCCCTCCACTTCACCCCACCCCCCCTCTTCCCGTCCCCATCCCCTCCTTCCCCTTCTCGTTCTCACGTGCACTCTCCTCCTGCTCTCCCCTTTTTCCTTCCCTCCCACAAGCTCAGTCAACACCTCTTGTGTTCCCCCTCTCCATCTCTCGCAGGAGTTCCGAGACTACTTCACGCTCCTCCCCGCGTCTGCCCATCTCTTCGACTACTGGATATCTGCTTCCTGCCCGCTCGCCTGCCAACCTCACAGCCCCTCCTGCCCTTCCCTCCCTCTTCTCTCTCCCCCACCATCCCCACCTTCTCAGGAGTTCCGGGACTACTTCACGCTCCTCCCTGCCTCTGACCATCTCTTTGACTACTGGATCTCCGCCTCCTGCCCGCTCGCCTGCCACGCTCCCTCCACACCGCAACCCTTCAAAGCGCGAGAAACACTTCAGGGGACTGCAGCGGTATTAGGCACAGCCGCCACTGCGGGAAATGTGTTGAAAAGGAAGGTTCCACGAAGAGGGTCTGTGAGAAGAACCAGCAGCAATAGCAGCAAGGGTGCCAGCACAGGCGGCAGCAACAGCGGCGGCGGCGGCAGCAGGAGAAGTAAAGGGGCGGGCGGCGTGTGGCGGCATCTAGTGGCGGGCGGCATGGCAGGAGCGACGTCCCGCACCGTGACTGCTCCTTTGGAGACCCTCCGCCTGCGCATGATGGTCTCGTCCGAACATGGCCTCCTGCAAACGTGCTCTGTGAGTGCTGCGGTGCGGGGATCTGGTTTTGAGACGTCTCAAAACGGGAATGACCATGCCACATTACATATGCTTCACTCTGCACCTCTCCCCAGCACCGCCACTCAATGCATAGCTAATCCTCACCGCACCGGGCCTGTCCCCTTGGAGACCCTCCGCCTGCGTATGATGGTCTCTGCTGACCACGGATTGCTACAAACATGCTCTGTGAGTGTGCCTACTTGATGCACCACCATGGTCTAGAATGTACTCTGCTCCTTCCCCTGTCTCATCCCTACCCTCCTCTCAATCTCTCCTCTTCCCCATTGCAGCAAGTGTGGAGTGAGGCGGGCTGGCGGGCAGTCTTCCGTGGCAACATGGCGAACGCGGTGCGCTCGGCTCGTGTGCCCTCTCTCGTGACTCATCCCCCCTCCCGTGCCCCTCTCCTCGCTCATCTCCTCTTCCCCATTGCAGCAAGTGTGGAGTGAGGCGGGCTGGCGGGCATTCTTCCGGGGCAACATGGTGAACGTGGTGCGCTCAGCCCCTCAGAAGGCGATCGACTTCTTTGCCTTTGAGGCCTTCAAGCAAGCCATGGCCACCATCTTCCCCGCGGTACGTGTACCTCTATTTTTGCTCTGCTCCTATATCACCGCTGGCACCCCAGAAGGCGATCGACTTTTCGCTTTCGAGGCCTTCAAGCAAGCCTTTTCCACCGTGTTTCCCACAGTGAGTTCTTCGTCCTCCCTACCTTTGCATTTCCCCCTCCATGGTATCACTACGCCTGGGCATATACGGCACCAGTATTTCACGGCCACGGCCCCTGAGTGTGCCTTGCCACGCCAATACAACACCCTCACAAGCCCATCCGCCTTTCCTTCTGCTGAGGCCTTCCAAAAAGGCACACCACAGCAACGCCCACATCATCTCCACCACCATCCACATCATCTCCACCACCATCCACATCATCTCCACCACCATCCACATCTCATGGACTTTCATTCACCTGCTCCTCATTACCCCTTCTTTCTTTTCCTCCTTCCCCCTTTCTTTTGTCAATATTTTCCCTCCCACCTCTCAGGGCCCTGCGGGACTTCAGGTGGTGACAGCAGGTGCTTTGGCAGGTGCCACGTCAACTCTGGCTCTCTACCCTCTCGACGTCGTCAGGAGCCGCCTCACTGTTGCCGCCCGCTCCCAGGTGGGTTGAATCGCTGCTGCTGCTCGTTCTCGGGTGGTAGGTGAAAGCAACAAGTGGGGTTTCACGCGTACTGGTTTCTTGTTGCTTCCAAGTGAAGGGAGGCATGGTAAGGGTTGGGTCAAGGTGTGGTGACGCTACGGCAATCACGTACAGCTGCGTCAACCTGCTTGCTTGCTCCTTCATTCTTCCACTTCCCTTCTCCTCTACCCCCCACCCTTCCCCTTCCTACCATTGACAGTACACAGGCATTGCCCATGCCCTCACAACTATAGCCAAAACCGAGGGTGTCCCAGCCCTGTATAGGGGCCTCGGCGTGTCTCTCCTCTCCATCCTACCAGAGGCAGCCATCACATACGGCTGCTTTGACCTCCTCAAGTGCGCTCTGCAACACTCCACTGGCCGCACCGTGGGCGTGCTGCCTGCCCTGGCCTGTGCCGATCACTCCCTCTGTCCATCTTCCCTTTCCCCTTCCACCCTCCCCAATCCACAGTACACAGGCATCGCCCACGCTCTAACCACGATAGCCAAGACAGAAGGTGTGCCGGCGCTTTATAGAGGCCTGGGCGCCTCCCTCCTCTCCATCCTACCAGAGGCAGCCATCACATACGGCTGCTTCGACCTCCTCAAGACCGCCCTGCAGCACTCCACTGGCCGCACCGTGGGAGTGCTGCCCGCCCTGGCCTGTGGCGTGGCGTCTCTGTTTGTCACACCCGCTCACTCCCTCTGTCCATCTTCCCTTCCCCTTCCACCCTCCCCAATCCACAGTACACAGGCATCGCCCACGCTCTAACCACGATAGCCAAGACAGAAGGCGTGCCGGCGCTTTATAGAGGCCTGGGCGCCTCCCTCCTCTCCATCCTACCAGAGGCAGCCATCACATACGGCTGCTTCGACCTGCTTAAGACCGCCCTGCAGCACTCCACTGGCCGCACCGTGGGCGTGCTGCCCGCCCTGGCCTGTGGCGTGACGTCTCTGTATGTCACACCCGCTCACTCCCTCTGTCCATCTTCCCTTCCCCTTCCACCCTCCCCAATCCACAGTACACAGGCATCGCCCACGCTCTAACCACGATAGCCAAGACAGAAGGCGTGCCGGCGCTTTATAGAGGCCTGGGCGCCTCCCTCCTCTCCATCCTACCAGAGGCAGCCATCACATACGGCTGCTTCGACCTCCTCAAGACCGCCCTGCAGCACTCCACTGGCCGCACTGTGGGCGTGCTGCCTGCCCTGGCATGTGGCGTCGCCTCTGCTTTCACCGGCCAGCTTGTGGCGTATCCCCTCGAGCTTGTTGCGAGGCGCCTGCAGGTCTCTGCTGTTGCTGCTGCTGGCGCTGCTGCTGGTGCTGCTGCTGGTACAGTTGCAGCAGGTGCGGCGAAGCAAAATCTGGTTACCGTTACCAAGGCGATACTGGCGGAACGGGGAGTGGCAGGGCTGTATCAGGGTATTGTGCCGGCCTCCCTGAAGGTCATCCCTATGGCAATTGTGAGCTTTGGAGTGTATGAATCGGTGAAGTTTGCCCTGGTGCAACTGGCTGAGAAGGAGGAGGGGTGGCGGGAGGAGAGGGAGAGGAGGCGGGAGGAGGAGGAGGGGAGGCGGAGGTGGGTGGAGGAGGAGAGGAGGTTGGTGGAGGAGGAGAGGAGGGGGAGGAGGGTGTGCTTGCCGGTGTGTAAGGCGTGCTGGCGGGAGGGAGGGTTGTGTGGGAGGCAGAGGGGGAGTGCACTGCTGGTGGTGTGATGGTGGTGTGGATGCTCCGATGGGTGAAATCTCATGCCAGTAGGGTTGGATATCATGGGAGTGATTCTGGATGTCCGGCATGCCAGAGTGGCTGATTGGAGGTGCCAACACGACATGACATGACACGCATCTCGTGTATGGTCTAGTATGCGCTGCAGTCTAGGCTTGCTGCATTAGCAAGCCGATTTGAAGCATTGAACGTTGCCTGGAGAAATGCTAATCTCCATGTTTATGATACGTTGAGCTGGTAGTACCTTGGTTTGTATTGCCATGCTTCGTGTACCCATCTACAACGGTTATCAAGATTTGGGAGTTTGCCGAGCCTGGGGCTTGCCGAACAGCACCAAAAAAATCGACGAACAGCAAAGCAAAGAATGCATTGCAAGCCTGGAGCTCCAGTTTTCGATAAATTAGGTACTTCCCCCTAAAAGATCGGCGGCTGTTTCGTTCTTGCGCTGCAATTAGTGCCAAGTTACCAGGGTAGATAGGATCGGAGTCGTTGCTGCTTAGGCTATGACATTCTAGAGTTCGTCGGTCAAGGTGCGATAACTACGTGACGCACGATACTTTCTAGGGTAAAGCTGCATCTGACTGAGCTGGTGTAATATATTTATTAGGTGGTATTCCGGTAAACATAGTGCTAAGCAAGAATTGTGCAGCCTTATCCCACCTCTTCGGATTCTTTGAGAGAGTGGCAATGGTGACGACGAGAAAAATGGCATCCCGTGACCGGCTTCAGTTATCCTCGTTACTGCTACTTCTTCACGTGCTGGCGACGAGCTTGGTTTTCGCGAGCGTCGCAGAATTCGCGAAAGCGAGTAACTTGGGCTCCGGCGAAGTTCGCCGACCCGAGGAGGTCACTCAGGGCTTCGAGACCATCTCCACAGACATGCAACGCGTCGTCGAAATGCCGGAAGATTCGCAGAAGGTTCTCCTGGACGGCATGGGTCAGGCGCTCGTGTCGTCCGGCATGTGGCCGTGTAACATCTTCGGCGGCGTTAAGTCGTGTGTCGCGGTGCCTTCTAACGGAGCGTTCATGCAGCAGTGCGCGAATGTCGCGAAGTCGGAAGTGGACTGCGCTTATAACCGCGAGACGCTGAGTGACATTAACGAGGATCCGAACGTGATTATGAAGGAGAAGCTCGAAGAAGCAGGTGAGTATAACGAGCGGGGGGAAAGCCGGGTGAAACGAGAAGGGTACGTGGTTGGAGGATGGTACTTTTACTCGAAACGTTTTCTTCATATTCGTTTCCTTCCGTACCCCTGATCCAATGTTTCCCGTCGTTTCTCCACTCCCTCCCCCACTCCCCCACTTCCTGTTCATCCCTTCTGGTGCAGTAGTCCTCATTCTTCAATTGTCCCCTCTCCTCTCTCCTTCCCGCCTCTTCCCATCTCCTCCCCCCTTCCCCCTCGCCGCTCGCCCCTCCGGTCCCCCGTCTTTCTTAGCCTCCCTTCCCTTCCCCAGGATTCGAGCCGTGTCCCGCATGTCTAGATGCTGTGCATCGCTTCTGGTGCGGGCAGACTACCCCCACGTGTGGCACCTTCGCTAAAGTCGTTGACGAGATTCTGGTGAGTGGAGGAAGCGAGACGGGGAGGAGGGGTGGGTGGGGGATGAAGGACAGGGGTAAGGTGGAGGTGGGAGGTGATGATGGGGGGTGAGGTGATGATGTGTGAGGTGATGATGGGGGGTGAGGTGATGATGGGGGGTGAGGTGATGATGTGTGAGGTGATGATGGGGGGTGAGGTGATGATGGGGGGTGAGGTGATGATGGGGGGTGAGGTGATGATGTGTGAGGTGATGATGGGGGGTGCATATGCAAACCACCCCCTGTGGCACCTTCGCAAAAGTGGTTGACGAGATTCTGGTGAGTGGAGGAGGAAGGGGGGGATGGAAGGGAGTCGGGTTAGGAGAAGAAGTTGGTTTAAGAGGCGGGAGTGGGGGAGGAAGGGGGGGAGAGGAGGTGAAGGGGAGTAGGCTTTAAGATACATGCCTTTCTAAATCCACACTCCCGTCTCCCTTCCTTGCTCTTCCTCTCCCGTCTTTCCCCCGCACCCCTCCCCATTCGGCCAGCCTGAAATGAGGCAAGTCAGTGCGGGCAAATTAAAGCCAGACGAGTTGGTTCAGTCAGCCCTGCCCCGCATGCTCCAAGCCTTTTCTCTCGGGCTGCCCTGCCGCAAAATGTGCGAGGCAGTTACCGCCACCTGCAGCTGCGGCCGCCCGGCCACGTTCGGGCAGATGATGAAAGTTTTGAAGCTGAAGCGCATGCAGCAGCAGGCGGAGGGGGAGGGGGCAGCGAGCAGGCCCCTGGCAGAGAACAAAGATTTGATTCCGTTTGGGTTCAGTACGAACATGTCGTTGGCAACTGCTGTGAAGATCTTCAAAGGCGTGTGGGACCGACCCGTCTGCGACTTGTTTGCCCCGCATGTAAGGAAGAGGATAGGGGCTGGTTGGGGGTGGGGGGGGTGGGGTTGGGTCTGAAAGAGATTAATCAAACCCTAAGAGTGGGTTCAGGACGAACATGTCTCTGGCTACTGCTGTGAAGATATTCAAAGGCGTGTGGGACCGACCCGTTTGTGACCTCTTTGCTCCACATGTAAGGAAAAAGGGGGTGGGGGAAAGGTGGGGAAGGGGTGGGTGGGGGGAGGTGGAAGGGGCAAGTGTTTGTCTTGAGACGGCACAAAGAATGGGTTCAGGACGAACATGTCGTTGGCTACTGCTGTGAAGATCTTCAAAGGCGTGTGGGACCAACCCGTCTGTGACCTCTTTGCTCCTCATGTAAGGAAGACCGAGGGGAAGAGGAAGGGGGTGGGAGAGGGAGGTGGGGGTTAGGTGCAGGACGGTTTAAGAGGGGCAACGGGTTTGAGACATTACAAACAATCGATCAGCACAAACATGTCTCTAGCTACTGCTGTGAGGACAAATCATTAACAAGTCTCCCCTCCCCCTATTTCCCCACTTCCCACTGACAGGACGCGCCTGGCTTCCAAGTTGTGTGTGAGACGTGGTGGGCGGGCGCAGAATAGGAGCATACGATGTGTCGTTGGTGCAGCTCTAATGTTTTCGCAAACCTTCCGTGAAACCATGCTTTCTACTTCCCCTCCCCCTTTCTCCCAACCTCACAGGACGCGCCCGGCTTCCAGGGCGTGTGTGAGACGTGGTGGGCGGGCGCGGACAAGGAACGACCAGGGGACAAATCATTCCCGCATCCTCCCTCCCCGTCTCTCTCCCCCCTCCCCACGGACAGGACGCGCCCGTCTTCCAGGGCGTGTGTGAGACGTGGTGGGCGGGGGTTGACAAGGAGCAGACGTCGTGCCGCTGGTGCGACTCTGATGTGTACTAGGAAGGAAGGACCATCCACAGGACCATGCTTTCTGCCTCCCCTCCCCGCGTGTTCTTAACCTCACAGGACGCCCCCGGCTTCCAGGGCGTGTGTGAGACGTGGTGGGCGGGCGCTGACAAGAACCAGACGTCGTGCCGTTGGTGCGAGTCGAAGCAGCGGCCAGAGGACATGGACGAGCAGATCGTGGCTCAGATTGCCCAGTCCGTATCCAGCATGATGCAGGTGGGGTGCGGAGTGCGTAGTGTAGGTGCTCCAGAGGCTGTAAATGGTGGTGTGAGGTGCTAGCAGGGGAGAGGGAATACTCTCATGTCCGCTGGTGCGAGTCGAAGCAGCGGCCAGAGGACATGGACGAGCAGATTGTGGCTCAGATCGCCCAACCCTTATCCAGCATGGTGCAGGTGGGTTGGTGAGCTGAGTGTGTAGGTGCGCTAGGGAGTGTAGGTGCTGGTGTGTGCAGGGGAAGAGGGAACATGCTTGTGCTGTGGGTGCTGGTGTGCTGCGGGAGCGAGTCAAAGCAGCGGCCAGAGGACATGGATGAGCAGAGCGTGGCTCAGATCGCCCAGTCTGTATCCAGCATGATGCAGGTGGGTTGTTGGGTGTGTGTGTGTGTGTGTGTGTGTGTGTGTGTGTGTGTGTGTGTGTGTGTGTGTGTGTGTGTGTGTGTGTATGGGTAGGGGTTTGCTGGTGCGGGCAGGGGAGGAGAGGAGGGAACCTGCTTATGCTGACGTGGCTCAGATCGCCCAGTCCGTATCCAGCACGATGCAGGTGGGTCGCTGGGTGTGCGTAATGGTTGCTGAGTCTTTGAGCCGTGGAGGAAAGAACCTGCTGGTCCGGTAGTGGTCGTAGGTGCTGGTGTGAGCAAAGGAGGGGGTAATCTCACATCGCTGGTGCGAGCCAAAGCAGCGGGCAGAGGACATGGACGAGCAGATCGTGCATGCCCTGCACAATCTGCAGCATCATGCATCATACCCAGCACGTATCCATGCATGTGAAGTGCTGGGTGAGCATGATGCTGCTGGTGTGCTGGGTGTTTAGATTCTGTAGGTGCTTGCTGGTGTGAGCAGTGGGGGAGAGAAGCAGAGAAGGGCACGTGCTTGTGCTGTAAGTTGTGGTGTGTCGCTGGTGCGAGCAAGGACAGGGATGGGCAGATATGTGGTTGGTGCGGTGCTGTCGGCGCTGTCGGCGCTGTCGGTACTTAGTCGGCTCGAAGCTCAACTCTGTCCTTGCACGCGTCTCTGCTTTCCATGTTGTTTCCATCTTGCAAACCACTTTCCCTTATCATGTTGCAAAGCCCTATTCTCCCTTTCATCTTGCAACTCCTGTTCCTTTCCTCGCACACGCCCCCCCGCAGGCTGGTCTCGAGCATGTTCTCTTTGCGGCCGCCTTCCCGGTTCCCAACCTAAAAGCTGCCCGCACCACCACCACCACCACCCCCTCCTCCTCTGTGGCCTCTGCTTCTGTCTCTGCTGCCAATGCCAGCCCTGCAACTGCAACAGCTTCTGCTGGTGCTGCTAATGCTGGTGCTGGTGTCGCTGTCTCTCCTGCTGTTGCCCCTGTAGCCGACGCTGCCGAAGCAGCAGCAGTGGAGCACACAGAGGAGGAGGTGGAGCAGGAGGAGCAGAAAAGCTTCGACTGGCAGGACGATCAAACTGGCCTACCTGCTGCCGAGCCTGTCGAGCTACCCCCTGACACTGTTCCTCCCGAGCTTATCGACCCTACCGCCGAACCTGGCCCCAAGAATGCCGCCGAACCGGGTGCCAAGGCTGCACCCGAGCCTAGTTCGGATGGGCCGGGGTATTTTAGAGAAGCAGCCCCGGGGGACTGGGGTATAAGGAGTCAGAGGAGGAGAGAATGGCTAAAATGATGCGAGGGGAGGGTGTGGGAGAGGAAGAGGGGGAGGTTCCATCTGGGAAAGGTGGTACTGCTGGTGGAAGGTGGGAAGAGGTGATGAATGGGATGATGGGGGGAAGGGGAGGACGAGGAGGTGAGGGGGGACGAGGGGAGGGGGAGAGGGGAGAAGGGGGGGGGGGCAGAGGGTAGAGGTGGTGCATGGGAGGGGGGTTCCGCTAGAGGGGGCACGATGATGCGAGGGGGGCCGGGAGAAGGTGAGGGTGGGGAGAAGGAAGGAGAGAAGGAAGGAGAGGAGGAAGGAGAGGAGGATCCGCATTCTGCTGTTGCAAGCGCAGGCACCACTTCTCCCAGTGCTCCCCGAACCGAACCTCCCAACGAGCCTGGAGAACCGGAGCGGCCACCGGTTTGGGAGAAGAAGGAATGGCAGGAGAAGGGAGGGGAACCGAGTGCCGGGTGGCAGGCAGAAAAGGAGGAGGAACCAGTTGAAGGGGCCGGGGGGGATGTGTGGTATCGAGGGCATGGGGATGATTTGCCCCTTCCGCCGAGAGAGGAAAAGCGCGGGTCACCTTTGGTGGCGACGATTTTTATTTTCTTTGCGGCGGTGGGAGTCGTGGCAGGGTTGGCGTTTTGGAAGATGAGGAGGGAGCGGAGGGCGAGGGATGGTGGGTTGCAGTATATTGACTTGCAAGAGATGAGCTACCGGCCTCCAGAGTTTTAGAGATTGGTGTGGGTTTGAGGATGAGGCACGCTAAACACATCATCAAACACATGTTCGCCTTTGAGGCGAGTGTTCCTCACCTTTTGACCATTTTTGTAGTTTGCTTTCTTCTCTTGCCTTATTGCAGATCACCAGTTGCTTGTAAAGATATATTTTCACCTGTAGTATCCTCTCGTCTTCTTTATTACAAGTTCAGTGAAACAAATCACCTGTCGCTGTCTGTCAGCTGTCGCTTTCAATGGTGGTCCTGTCCTGACGGCTGACAGGCGGAATTGGCGAGATGCTTGTCACTTTCACCCGTCCGATGTTGACTCAAACGCCCAATTTCGGGAAAACGACCCCTCGCGAAGACACGTGCCAACAGTCCAATGGCTCGCGAGCAACTCCGCGAGCCCACATCTTTCCGCTCCCTATCTTGCGCGATTCGTCGTCTCAATGTTTTCCCGACATCGCGACTCGTGTTCCCCTCCCATGCAAACGCAATCTGCTCGAATTTCTCCCACCATAAAATTCCGCAGCTTGATGCTTTTCTCGTCACATCCATCCCCAACGCACTACCAGCTGACCATCCTTCCCGCGTCTCTCCCGCAAACCACATATCGGCAGTGAATCCCAATCCCAAGCTCAAAACCACAGCTCAACAAGTGTTTAGTGTTCGATTCAGGAATTTTATTCCTAGATTACATAGGCTCGGGAAACATCTCGTTTCCCGCCATTTTGGTGCTAAGTGAGAAGCTGAAGACGTGGAGCCAAGAGTAGCCATGGCTGTCAGCATGGGAGCGCGCGTGCTGTCGCTGGTTCTTCTAATCCACCTGACCATATCTTCAACGGGTAAGCTCTTGCACGCTCTTCAACGGGAAATCTCAAGTGTCTTTTTTCAAGTGTCTCATGTTCTCAAGTTCTTTTCGCTTTTTTTATATTCAATCTTGAGTCTTACCCTTCTGATGTATCCGACTCTCTCTCCTGTTTTCCTGCCCTCCTTTCGCCGCAATTCCTTCCGCAACAGCTCAACCCATCCCCGTGCCACGAGTCACTGACGGCCCGGCAGCACTAGTGGGAGGCGCCGCCAGCTCAGCACAGTCTGCGATTGGTGGCGCCGGGATCCCAGTCCAGAACCCGATCGGGGGCGCCGCGAGCGCGGCTCAGAGCGCAATCGGCGGCGTCAGTGGCGCGGCTCAGGGCGTGATTGGCTCTGCAACCACCGCAGCACAGACCACGGCCAGCAATCTTGTGAGGACCGTTGGTGGCGCTCTGAACGGAGTTCAAAACACCATCGGTGGCGCAGTGAACGGGGTTCAAACCACCGCTGGCGGCGCCGTCAGCACACTTCAAAACATCGCTGGTGACGCCCTGAACGGGGTTCAGACCACAGCTAGCAGCGCGCTCAACGCCGTTCAGAGCACTGCTGGGGCCGCGCTGAATGGAGTGCAGGGCGCCGCTGCGGGAGCGACGGATGCAGCTCAGCGCACCCTAGGATCTGCCCTCAACGCAGTTCAGACTGTCGCCCAGGACCCGATTGGAGCTATCCAGAGCACTGCTGGGAACGCACTCAACGCAGTTCAGAGCACGGCCGGGGGAGCTGTCGGTGCGGTTCAAACCGCCGCTGGGGGCGCTCTGGGGGCGGTTCAAGGGACTGTTGCCGGGCTGACGAATGCAATTACTGGCACTGCTCAGCAGCTCGCTACCACCGGCCCCGTTAACGCTATGAGAAACGCTGCCGGCACGGCTGCAAGCAACGTGGGGAGCGCTTTGAGCGGGCCTATCGGGGCTGTGCAGGGAGTGGCTGGTGCGGCTGCGGGCAATGTTGCGAGTGCGTTGCGCGGGCCTGCGACTGCTGCTGTGAGCGCTCTGAGCGGGCCTGCAGGGGCGCTGCAGGGAGTGTTGGTGCGTCAGGGAGGTGTGTTGAGCCGCCCGCTTGAAAGCGTTCAGGGAGCAGTCGCTGGTGTTGCTGGTGCAGTGCAGAATGCTGCCGGGGGAGTGCAGCAAACGCTGAGCCGCCCGGTTGAGAGCATTCAGGGGGCAGTTGCTGGTGTTGCTGGGGGCGTGCAGAATGCGGTTGGGGGAGTGCAGAGCACACTCGGCAATGTGGGAAACGGTGTGCAGAGCACCCTTGGGAATGTCGCTGGGGGCGTGCAGAGCACCCTTGGGAATGTCGCTGGGGGCGTGCAGAGCACACTGGGGAATGCTGCTGCTGGTGTTCAGAGCACAGTGGGCAATGTCGCTGGAGGGGTGCAGCAAACTCTGGGGAGCGGCGCTGCTGGTGTGCAGGGCACTCTGAGTAACGCCGCTGGCACTGCTGCTGTGGGTGCTGGTGCGGGCGTGAGTGCTGGCACTGTTGCTGTCCCCGTGGCAGCGCGCTTGTCAGCAGAGAGTGAGCCTGGGAGGAGGCTGCAGGACAGCCCGGCAGCTACAGGCAGCACAGCAGCTGGTGCTGAATCAACCATCACAACCCCCAGTGGCCCCACTTCCACCGGTGTCCCCACTCCCCTCCCCATCCCCACCACCACCCCCACCACCCCCACTCCCACCACTCCCACCACTCCCACCACTCCCAACCCCACCACCCCCACCACTGCTGTTGCTGCTGTCACCGGTCCGCTTAGTGGGGTGCAGCAGGCACTCTCAGGCGCAGCCTCCACCCTTCAAGGCATTGCGTCTGGCGCCGCCTCTACCCTGCAGGGCGTTGCGGGGTCCGCCACCCAGCAGATCACATCTGCCACCCAGTCCCTCCCCAGCGCCGTCCAGTCCCTCCCCAGCGCCATCCAGGGCGCAGCTGCGGGTGCTGCGGGCGGCGTGCAGAGCACACTGGGTAACGTCGCTAGCGGTGTGCAGCAAACTCTGGGCAGTGTGGCCAGCAGTGCGCAGCAGAATCTGGGCAACGCTGCTGGTGCTGTGCAGAGCACCCTTGGGAATGTCGCTGGGGGAGTGCAGCAGACGCTGAGCAATCCGACTGGATCCATCCAGGGCGCAGCTGCTGGTGCTGCTCGTGGCATGCGGAACATTGCTGTGGGTGTGCAGAGCACACTTGGAAATGTGGCAGGCGGAGTGCAGCAAACGCTGGGCAGTGTGGTTGGCGACGCACAGAGCACACTTGGGAATGTCGCAGGGGGAGTGCAGCAGACGTTGAGCAATCCACTTGGGTCCATCCAGGGCGCAGCTGCTGGTGTCGCTGGTGGGATGCAGAATGCAGCTCGCACTGTGCAGAGCACTCTGGGCAATGTCGCTGGCGGCTTGCAGCAAACTCTGGGGAGCGCTGCTGCCGGTGTGCAGGGGACTCTGGGTAGCGCCGCAGGCACTGCTGCCACTACTGTGGGCGCAGGTTCGGGTGCTGTTGCTCCTGGTACAATTCCTGTGGCAGCAGCAAGTGAGCAGCAAGGAAGGAGGCTGCAGGACAGACCGGCAGCAGCAGGCAATGGCCCCACTTCCTCCGCTACCCCCACTCCCCTCCCCATCCCCACCACCACCACCCCTACTCCTACCACCCCCACTCCCACCACTCCCACCACCCCCATCCCAACCACCAACCCCACTACTCCCTCCGCCCCCACCATCACCCCTGCTGCTGGCACCAGTGCCGGCCCACTGGGTGCAGTGGAGCAGGCTGTATCTGGTGCAGCCTCCACCCTTCAAGGCGTTGCCTCCGGCGCTGCCTCTACCCTGCAGGGCGTTGCCGGGTCTGCCGCCCAGCAGATCACTTCTGCCGCCCAGCAGATCACTTCTGCCGCCCAGTCCCTCCCCGGTGCCATCCAGTCTCTCCCTGGTGCCGTCCAGGGCGCAGCTGCTGATGCTGCGGGCGGCGTGCAGAGCACTCTGGGGACCGTCGCTAGCAGTGTGCAGCAAACTCTGGGCAATGTGGCAGGGGGAGTGCAGCAGACGCTGAGCAATCCGGTCGGGTCACTCCAGGGCGCAGCTGCTGGTGCTCTTCGCGGGGTGCAAAACGCCGATGCAAACGTGCAGAGAACTCTCGGCAACGTTGCTGGGGGAGTGCAGCAGACTCTGGGTAATGCCGCCGGGGGCGTGGCTGATGTGGCGCGTGCGGCAGGAGGGACTGTCTCTGGAGCTGCCACCGGTGCGCAGGCGGCACTCTCCGGTCAGCTCTCTTCAGCCCAGAACGCCCTGTCTGGCCCGATTTCGACTGTTCAAAACGCACTGTCAGGGCCTCTTTCCACGGTGCAGGGGGCAGCAGCAGGGGCAGTGAGCGGCGTGCAGGGAGCGCTGTCAGTGCCTGCTGGCGCCATCCAAAGCGCTGCCAGTGGCGTGCAGGGAGCAGTCCAGGGGGTTCAGGCCGTTGTGCAGGGAGCCATGCAAGGGGCTCAGGGCGCCGTGCAAAGCGCTCCCTCTCTGCCCACAGCTGCCTCTCAGCTTCCTGCCGCTGCCGGCACTGCTGCTGCGGGTGCTGGTGCTGCTGCTACAGTCCCCGTGGCAGCACGCGCATCAGTAGAGAGTGAGCCTATTCAGCCTGGAAGGAGGCTGCAGGGCAGCCCTGCAGCAGCAGGCAACGCAGCTGGTAGTGCTGGCCTGACTGCTGCAACCCCCAATGGTCCTACTTCCACCGTTACCCCCACTCCCCTCCCCATCCCCACCACCACTACCCCAACTCCCACCACCCCCATCCCCATCACCACCCCCACCACTCCTACCACCCCCACACCCACCACACCCGCCACCACCGCTGCAGCTGCCACCGGTCCACTGGGTGCAGTGCAGCAGGCGCTCTCTGGCGCAGCTTCCACCCTTCAGGGCGTTGCCGGGTCTGCCGCCCAGCAGATCACGTCTGCCGCCCAGTCGCTCACAGGCACCGTCCAGGGGGTAGCTGCTGGCGCTGCTGGCGGAGTGCAGAGCACACTAGGCAGGGTGGCTGGGGGAGTGCAGCAGACGCTGAGCAATCCGGTTGGGTCAATCCAGGGCGCAGCTGCTGGTGCTGCTGGGGGTGTGCAGACCGCCGCTGCCAATCTGCAGAGCACACTGAACAATGTGGTTAGCGGTGCGCAGCAGACGGTGGGCAGTATCGCCGGGGGAGTGCAGCAGACTCTGGGTTATGTTGCCACCGGTGCACAAGCAGCACTCTCCGGACAGCTCTCTGCAGCCCAGACCGCACTCTCAGGCCCGGTTTCCACTGTGCAGGGGGCACTATCTGGACCACTTTCCACAGTTGAGAATGCAGCAGCAGGAGCAGCGAGGGGCGTGCAGGGGGCGCTGTCTGTGCCTGCTGGGGCCATTCAAGGGGTGGCTAGTGGCGTGCAAGGCACCCTGCAAGGAGCAGTGCAAGGGGCTCAGGGCGCTGTGCAAATCGCTGTGCCACTGCCCACAGTTGCCTCTGCTGCCACTGGCACTGCTACCACTGGCACTGGCACCGTTACTGGTACAAATGCTGGTGCTGGTGTTGCCACTACAGTTCCTGCGGCAGCACGCTCAGCAGCAGAGAGTGAGCCTGGGAGGAGGCTGCAGGACAGGCCAGCAGCAGCAGGCAGCACAGTTGGTAACGCTGGTTCAACCACCCCCACCACTCCCACCACCACCCCCACCACTCCCACCACCCCCACCACCGGCGCTGCTGCTGCTGCTGCTGCTGCTGGCATCGGAACTGGCCCTTTAGGCCCCGTGCAACAAGCAGTCTCTGGAGCTGCATCCGCCCTTCAAGGCATGACCTCTGGCGCTCAGTCCCTTGCCTCCTCTGCCGTCCAGCAGATCGCCTCCGCTGCCCAGTCCCTCCCCGGCGCCGCCCAGTCCGCCGCTCAGTCCATCCCCGGCGCAATCCAATCCGCTGCCCAGTCCGCCACAGGGGCAATCCAATCTGCAGCAGGGTCGGCACAGGCAGCAGCGGGGGCCGCAGTGGGGGCAGCAACAGGGACTCTGAACCGGATAGGGGATGCACTCACACTGCCACTGCGCCAGGCTGTAACGGCTGTAGCCCAGCCTCTTGTGGGGGCAGCCCAGGTTGTAGCACAGCCGCTGGGGACGGCTGTAGCGAACGCTGTGCAGCCGGCTGTAGCGGCACTGCAGGCGGGGGTTCAGGGGGTTGGGGCAGGAGTTTCGGGGATTGCTGGGGGAGTTGGAGGTGCGGTGCAGGCAGCAGGAGCAGGCGTGCAGAACGTAGGGAGAGGGGTGGTGGCAGGGGTGCAAAGCGCAGGGGCAGCAGTGGGGGAGAGGGTGCAGAGCCTTGGAGCAGCAGCAGCAGGGGGAGTGCAGAGCCTAGGAGGGAATATGACTGGGGCGGCAGCAGGGGCAGCAGAGGCTCTAGGCCGGACTGCTAGTGGTCTGGGAGCCGGGCTAGGGAACACCGCAGCTGGAATTCAAGGGGGTATTGGGCAGGCGCTGGGGGAAATTACCGAGGCAATTCAGGGCGGGCCTGGGAATTTTGGGCAGGAGGTTGGGGAAATTACCCAGGGAATTCAGGGCGGGCCGGCGGTGCTGGGGGGAGTGCTGACCCGGGCGGCAGACTCGGTTACTGCGGCAGTGGGAGGGGCGGCAGGGGCGGCGGGGAACGCTGTGACTGTAGCGGTGGATGCGGCTAGTGGCACGATTCGATACAGCATTGAGGGGATTGGGAATGCTACGGAGCTGGTATCTGCTGGGATTTACCAGGCTGCTGGGACTGCAGGAGGTGAGTCTGCTAGGGTGTGCTTGTTTCAGCTGCTAGGGTGTGTCTTCAACACACCCGTACTCACCCACTCATACACACCCACTCACTTTCACACTCACTCCCACGGACTGGGAATGCAACCACTCTTGCTCTATCCTTCTGTCTCTACCCCCTTCCCACATCACCCAACATACATACTCCCGGTCTCTTTGCTTTACTCCCTCCTCTCTTCACCAACCCACTTTCGTCTTCCACAAATCAGGAGCTGCCAGGTCAGCAGGAACCCAGGTGGTGAGCCTGTTCAACCGGGTCAACCCAGTCAACGCCCTGTCAGCAGCGGGCGGCACACTCACAGGCACAGTAGCCGCCACTCCCAGCGCCATCGCCAGCCTGCTGCAGAACCCGGCAGGCTTTGTCCTGCAGGCCACAACCAGGGGAGGTGCATCTGCTGCTGCTTCTGCTGGCAATCAGGCTGCTAATGGCTCTTCTGCTTCTGGTGGTGCTTCTGGGGCCACGGAGACTCGAGTGGCGCCGCTGAGTGTAAGGAAGGAGGAATGACCCTTAACCAACAGTCTGACGCTTAACCAGCAGTCAACACCAGCGGCCAGCTATGAGTCAACTGGCTGCATGCCAACGAGTCTGCTAGTGCTTGATTAAGAGCCTCCAGGCTGTGGGCTCATGCTAGTGACACTAATAGTAGGACAGGAGTACAGTGGTAGCAGAGGAGGGAAGCTGTTCTCTGTGTGATGCAGTGAAACTAATGGAAGCTGTTCCACTCCTTCCTTTCTCCTTTCTCCCTTCTCTATTCTCCTCTAGAGCTTGTGACTAATCTACCCTGTGACCTCTCTTTCCTTTCCCTTCGTGTCTTATCCCCTATTCCCCTCCGTCTCACCCCATCCCCACCAGATTCCTGCGCCTCTCATCCCTTCAACCATCAGCACCACTCCTCTTTCTGTTGCAGCCTCCGTGGCTCCTCTGCTGGGCGTTCGGCGTCAAGGTGAGAGCTAATTAAAAAGGGGTTGAGTTGAGAATTGGTGAGTGAGTAGTGGAGTGGGTGATTCTGCGCCTCTAGGCTTGCCTGTGATGTACAGCTCACTCTCTTAATCATTGGTCTCTACTTTTGACGTCTCAAAACTGGCATTTACCCTCAGAATCTTTGGTTTCTCACTTTATGAGGGATGTATGTGTATGGTTGCATGAGGATTGCATGGGTGTGTGTGTGTGTTTGTGTGTGTGTGTGCCTGTATGTGTGTGTGTGTGCGTATGCCTCTATGTGTGTGTGTGTACACACCTGTGTGACTGCTTCGTATGTGAATGCCTTCGTGCTTGCGTGTGCGAGTGGATTTTCATGATGCAGAAATCACTCCAGCCACCACCAGCAACCCATCAGTTGCTGCAAGGGATCCAACTACCCTCACCTCCTCTCGCCCCGCCACCACCACCACTGCTACACCAAACCCCACCACCTCCCTTACCACCTCCACCCCCACCTCCACCACCAATCCCTCGTCTGCCTTCTCTTCCTTTCCCTCGATCCCCTCTTCCCTCCCTTCTTCCTTCCCATCGTCCATACCCTCTTCCCTCCCATCATCCCTCCCCTCCTCCGTCCCCTCCTCCACTCCCTCCTCCCTCTCATCCACTCTTGCCAACCTCCCCACCAACACCCCCACTACCTTCCCCACCTCCAACCCCCTTCCCGCCAACACCCCTCTCCCTGGGGGCTCCTCCCAATCCTCTTCCGCCCCTGGCATGCTTCTGGGAGTTGCTGGTGATGCGGTAACCAACGCTGCACTACAGCTGCTGAGGGGAATCCAGGGGGCCATGCCCGAGGCTGGAGGCTCTAGCAGTAGCAGCGGTGGCAACAGCGTTACCAGTGGTAACATTGGGTTTCCCAGCGGCAATACCGGGTTTCCTAGTGGTACAACTGGAGCTGCCTTCCCTGCAGCTTCTCAGGGAGGTTCTTCTGGGGGAGGCATTGACTGGACTGCTGCGTTGCTGCTCCTGCAAACCCTTGTCCAGCAAGCAACAGGCGGTGGTGGTAACAGTGCGAGCCGTGGAAATGGTGATGGTGCAGTGGTGAATGTGGATTTGAACGCGTTGTTACCTGTTGCAGAAGCTCTGATGGGGTTCGCAACAGGGGGTGCGGTAGGAGGGAATGCAAACCAGCTGGACCTTGGGATGCTGATGAATCTGGCTGGGGCCCTTGGTGGTGCCCTGTCCGGTAATCCATAAGTTAGCAACAGTGCCTGTCCCAATATAGTGCTTGAGAAGATTGTTGTTTTCAGTGTCCGCCCATGTTATCTGTTAGTTCAAAAACTACATTAACATATGTAGAGAAGATTTCGCGAAAGAAAATATATATATTTTTCGGATTTTTACAATCACGTGGAGCTTGGAAGGATTAAATATTCTGGATGTGGAATATGCACTAGAAATGGATGTGTTCATGTATATTTCACATGAGTTATTTGGTGAAGGAATTCGTGCTTAGGCGAGTGCTGAACAATAATGCTCGGCAGCATCATTGACTCCAGGTTGAAGCAACCATCATACCCTGCATGTGGTTGGAACCAGTATATCCGACGCACAGAGCCTGAACTCGGCTTATCACCTTGACGGCTCGGGTTTTGTGGCAGATGCCACGCTGGAAGAGGTTGTCAGCCGTGTCCAGGTCTGCAGTCAAATTGAGTAGCCAATGATCAACCTCTGCGACTGGGGTGGACAGCATCAGATTGCAGAGCTCACCTGGCCGTGGTCAGGGGTGCAGGGTGACCCGTTATGGAAGAGATGATTGGTTGCCGCCAAAGGTTGCGGATGCCAGATTGGTTGGAAAGGGGACGCCTTCCCACCGACTCGTCCTCGCGCAGTCAATCGACGTGTGAGATCCCCACAAGCTTCTTCGCAACCAACCATAATTTTTATTGCGGGAACGAAAGGGTCGTGAATTGATTGCAGTAGAATATTTCAGCTAGACTTCGAGATCTATGAATGGCAGAATGGTAGTAAATTCAAACTTATTTGGAGCAGGATGTTTTTTGCGCCAGCACCATCCTACCCGTGTGGCGGCTGTTGTGGACTGCCGCCAGGTGCACCCTACCTGTCAGCGACTTTCTTCTGCGATTGATCCCGTGGCATCGCAATAACGACGCTCATTGGGTGTTACACTTTCCCATGCAGTCTGTCTGCGGGGGCTGCCGCCGAGCCGTGCGGAGAATTCGTGCTGGCGAAGATGTCATGGCGGCCGACAGGTTTGCGTGGGTGAGCGGAGGGGAAGTTCGAACCGCATTTTGCGGTGACCTCTCGTCTCGTCACCCCTCTTGGTCGCAAGTGCTCGAGAGACGTGAACGGGCATGCAGGTTGCAAGCCACTGATAACTGTGCCGAACCGAAAATCCTGGACGTCGCACGCGTGTCTGCGACGTTGTCATGTACAACCAGGCTCGGCAGGAAAATCCTTTCACCCCAGTTTGATACCTTGGTTCTGTGGCTGCGACGACAGAAGGCGGCATCGCGTAGTTTTCGGCTGACGGTGGTGTCCCCTCCCCCAATCTGAGTCGTTGGCAGTATCCACCGCCCAACCGCCAAGCGGACGAACTTCCGCCCTTCCGCAACCCAGGACTTTCCATTCCAGTCACCAGAGGATTGCGGTGTGCCCGTGCCTCCACAACACAGCGCACATCGTTGCGTCCCGCGTACATCTGCTTCCCTGACAGAGCACGAATCTCCGAAATTATCGAGTCGCCAAAGCTTTTCCGGCTTCTCATTCCGTCGAGGGATTGACGGACCGCCCTGGTTTCAGGTTTCTGATTCCTTTCGGCAGTGGTTTTGACACCGTCGTGCTTCGCGCTCGAGACCGATACCTTCGGTCAGTTATTTACACTATTGCCTCTTTTCGAGTCCAGAGACTAATATTGTGTTTATTTATCGGGATATCAATTACGAGAAGCTCGGGGTATATTTTTTCCACTGGCCACTAAACTAAAACCAGGTAAACTTCAGAATTTTCCTGGTCACAGGAAATTGGAAATGTCGAAATCAGCTGCCCCAAGGAATCGGACGCGAGCGGAGAAGCAAGGCGGTGTCAAAGCCACTGCCTAAAGGAAACGGAAACTTGAAAACAGGGCGATCCGTCATTTCCTCCATTCCGTCGCACACGACTTCGTACCCACTCACCTTTCCTCTCAAACCCAATCACCCGATTGACGGAATATCCTCTCTTTGCTGCACCGCCTCACCCAACCACACACCTTCCCACACGTGCTGACGAATCACAATCATTCACGCGGCTTGCACCTTGCCTTGCTTGACGTCCGTCCGTCGCCATGTCACAACTCAACTGGAAAGAGCCCCAACTGGAATCTCCCCCAAGCTGCCCATGAAAACCCCTTGTCAGCCCGCGAATCCGCCAATAAGCCCGCGGAATTCCCAAAGAACTACCTGACTCCCCCCATTGGTCCCGGCGCCGAAGCAGCAGCATCCTTCCCCCCTTTCCCCCGCGTTTCGATTGATCCCACCTGGCCCTGTGACGGCGTCACTCCCCCCTCTTCCATTCGCCACGCCGCCAGCCGTCAATCTGTCGATGGGACGAAATTCGCTTCCCCCCACCGCCATTTCATCCTCCCTCCCTCCCTCCCCTTTCGTCGCCTTCCCTTCCCCGCTGGTTCTGCCGAGCGCGCTGACTCACTCCCCCTCGTTGCACGCAACTGCCTGAGTTTCTCTCCAACTTTCAACTGAGCTGCGCGGACCGATCCACTGTGCTCTCAACTCAAACCCTCCATCAGCATTCTCCCATCTCGTCGCAGCTCTACCACCAAAACACTTCAGATGCGTTTCGTGCTCCAGCCAATTTTTCGCTTGCTCAGTCACATCTGAATCCTTGAATCTCTCAGCTCAGCTAGGACGCTGCCATCTCACAAAAAAAGGCTGCGCTACGCCTTGCATATCTAATAAATCTTCCACTCTGTTGGCTTCTTGAAGCGACAGATTCCCTGCCTGCTGCAGATCGAAGCCATCTCACATCATGGCGGGTCTTTCACTAGACCTCTCCCTCAGCCTACTCTCCTCTGCACCTTCCTCCTCTCCAGTCGAGGCCGTCACAAACCTGCGGGATTCTCTCTCCAGCCCGCGGAAGGCGAAGCGCCACTGTCAAACAGATCTTCGTCAGTCGCAACCGTCGCACGTCGTCGCGCTTCCCATGAGGCACGTGCAGTCGCCTGGTCTGTCGCTAGCAAGCAGCCTCGACGCGGAGACCGTCACCGAGCCCGCCGCCGAGCCCATCGCAGAATCAGTCGCCGCGACTTCGCAGAGGGATAACGTGAATTCTTCCTTCCACCTTCTGGACTCGTCTCCGTCTTCGTCTCCCCCGTCTACCGGCTCCTTCTCCCCATCGTCCCGTGGTCCCTCCGCCTTCACTGCTCTTGCCTCCCTTGCGCACGCTCCGCCGTCCCACTGCCTGCCGGCGCTCACTCCCGCTCCTCCTTCCACTCCTCCGCCGCCGTCGCAACAGCACCGCGGCTGGTTCGGCTCCGCCATCCCTTCTGCAAGCTGCCCTCCTGCGATCTGCCCTCCTGCAAGCTACCCTTCCGCAAGCCACCCTCCCGCCGCGGAAGCTGTCTGCGTGACTCGGCTAACGATGCCGCCCTCCGCTTCTTCCTCTGCTCTTACCGCCCCACATCTGGCCACTTCACACTCTCAGCAGTCAGCAGCTCCTGCGGCGTCATATGCGGCAGTGAATCCCAGCGGGGAAGTGGGAGGCGCTGCAGGTCCCGTCGCGGCTCCAGCGCACCCGATTGTCGCGGGAGCGGCGCCGATGGCTCCGACGGCCGCGCCGGCGCCGCCGGCCGCTGCGCCGGGTCCGAAGAAAAGGAAGAGCATGAAGGACCGGAGGTTCCGCGGAATTCGCGAGGTAAGGAAGCACAAATATGTCATGTATTTTGCGCATCGACATAAACGGCGGATTCTGAGATCGGATCTAGCTTCTTTTTTTTATTTCTCTCTCGTCGTTTTTCTCCTTCGTGCTTGTGATTGTGCCTTATTCTAAAACCTGTCAAGATTTATTTTTCCGTTGCCTGTCTTTTTTGCAGCGCCTGTGGGGTCGCTGGGCCGCGGAGATTCGGGATCCCCGAACCAAGAAGCGGATCTGGCTCGGTAGCTTCGACACCGCCGAGGCTGCAGCCCGAGCCTACGACGCAGCCAACCTCCGGCTCCGAGGAGCCAACGCCCGGACCAATTTCCCCCAGCCTGAGCAGCTGGTTGCCTCGGAAAACAATCCTGCCGCACCTGGCCAGATCGAGGCTCTGCCGACTCCGATGCTTGAGGAGCAAAGTCCAACCGCCGGATCAAGCTCGGATGGTGACGGCGAGAACGTGGCGGGCGGGGATTCGTCCGCGTTACAAGAGGAGGCGGATGTGGTCGCAGCTGCGGATAGCCTGTCTCTACTCGCCGCGGCTGCGCTTGCGGAAGAGCCTGCTCCCGCGCCTGCGTCCGCGGCTGTGCCCGCGCCCGTGTCTGCGCCCGCGCCCGCTCCTGCGCCTGCGCCTGCACCTTCAGGTCAGGCGGCTGTAGCACCTGCGGCGACAGCAGCACCTTCAGCAGCGCCAGTCGCAGCGCCGGTGGCAGCGCCAGCTGCTGTGTCTCTCTCTCCTGCAGCGACGATCGCCCCTCGTCCCACCCCCATCGCGCCCGCTCCCGTTCAGTTCTCTTCTGGGCAGCCCGGGCCATATCCCTTTGTGGCTGTTTCGCAGTGGCAGTACAACGCGCAACGCAACCCCCACCAGCAATACAGCAACAACGTGCAGCAGTACCCCCGCGCGCAGCAATACGCCCACTCCGCGCAGCCGTCCTACTACCACCCGGCGCAACCAGTGAATGCTCGCTCCGCGCCTCACCAGCATCAGGCTGTAGCGGGAGCGCAGCCGGCGCTAGCCGTCCCAGCGACCTCCCCTTACCCTACCTTCCCCGGGTCCTGGGGACATCCCGGCCATTCCAGCGCATCCGCACAATACCAGCAGAACCTGGCCCCGCTGTCCGCGTCCGCGCAACACGTGTCCCTCTCCGCGCCTGCGTCCGCCGCGCTTGCTGCTGCGGCAGCCGTGCCTTCGCACCGGTCCCAGGCGGCCTTCCCTGTGTCGCAGCATCCGCCTCCTCCCAGCACAGGTGCTCCACGCACAGTGGTTGCACAGACAGTTGTAACTCCGCGTACAGTCACTCCGCACACTATCACATCACATAAAG